TCACAATTTGAAGTGTTCTTGCTTAAAAGCTTCAACTGTTAGGCTGAGCAGCAGCCAATGTAGAACTGCATAATGCTCAGCACATGAAGCCAATTCAACTCTGTTATTGTTTCTTCTTTTATTTTAATCTTTTATAGTTGTCAATGCTTCAAGTTGTGATTTGTTTGCAAGAATTTTGACTATGCTATAGTTACTGCTTCAAATATATATATATTTTTAATCCCAAAAGAAAAACTGGATTAAGCTATTTGAAGAAGAAGTTAAGTTAGATCTCAGATTTGGAGTGGTGGGCTAATAGCATTAATAAACAGAAACATTGACAAATTGAAATGGCAAATACGTTTCAGCTTCTGTGTAATAAAAAAAAAGGGCAACTATCCCAAAAAGAGTGATTACTTGCAATCCAAACGTATCCAATCCCAGGCCCAACTAGCAATCCTAATTTAATTTTGTTGGGTTTTGGGTTGTGAAAATTTCCAAACATGATCATTTTGGATTGGGTTTGAAACAAGCACAAATACATGCTCCCCAAAATGAGAAATTATGGATGGTAAATTGTTTGCAATGTCTTGATTAATCGTCCGTCCTGCACGACCAAAAATAAATAAATAAATAAAAATCGTCTGTCCTGCACCCACCCCAAGAGTATATGCTTCAATAGGAATCACACAAGGGTAAATTGATACAATAGAAACCTATGATAAAATGCCCACCTGTAATCCAATAGATAAAGTACCAGAAGCACAAGTTGGAAGTAGCTCCCTTAAGTTTGAACTGACTCACGCTCATGCATATACATGAACCAAATGTTTAAGAAACTTAGTTTTTTCCATGCCAGCAGACTGATTGGGGTCATTGATCTGATCGATACCCAATTTTTTTATGTCTAAAACCTAAAAACCTGAAGAAATTTGATGCCCTTGTTGAAGCAAAGTCTTTATCAGACTTGATTTGTTTTGGACTGTTATCAGCAACAACTATGGGTCAAATTGAAAATTAACTCATTAAGTGCGTACATTACATCAATCAAATACAGCTGGCCCCTTGCAAATGGCCAACACTTGGCCATGTCTTGTTCTGTCGATGGCTTCAAAGCTGATATTGGGGGGCGGCCTAACAATTGGATTAACGTGCAGCCCACAAGCCACAGGCCAATGTGGATACGCGGCTACTTGTCACTTCATCCGATGATAAGATGTCATCATTTGCAGAGTACTGAGTGCTCTTCACAAACACCACTGCTTCCTCGGTTTTCTTCACTCCTAATTCCTTCACCATCTTCGTCCAATCTTGAAGATGCTTCAAGTACTTCACAAGTCAATCTGCAAACCTTTGAACTTTAAAAATTCACAAATACCTTAAACACCAAAAAACACTAAAATTCACAACACAATCAGAGAAAGCAAAAGAGAAAGCTTTTCTCGATTATAAAATAGAATTAGTTAATTCAATATGAACATCAACTACGAACGTAAATAACTCAACAACCCAAGAATGTGATCGCATATCCAAAGGACTGAAGCCTTGATCTATAGTGAGGAGTAACTATGGAAAAAAATAGGTCCATCAGTTTTGTAGAATTAAAAAACATGAAACTTAAAATTGATGATGTGGCATATGTTAAGTGGTTAGATTATTTAAGTAGCTTAGATTTCATAAAATGCAGGCAAATACACGAATCTTAAATGTAGAGGCTTAAGCTAGATAGCCCATAACCATAAGACAAAATGCTCACCACCACAACAACACATACGATTTTATTTGATTTAGGTGATAATGAGGGTTTATGATGAGGAGGTTGATAATAGTTATTCGATCAATGAAAATGTTTAAATTTAATTATTTCTTTATATTATTGGACGGCATGATTGAACTCCTCAATATAGCCTTCTTGTTATGGAAGCTCTCTCATAATTTTATACTTCAATTTGAAGCTCGTCTAGCTAGTTTTCATGGCGTGTCCTTCAATCATGAAAGTGGTTGGGAACCAACCATAAATTATACCCTATTAAGTAACCTAATCATGCATTACTTTATTAACTAATTGATAATCTTATAGCAGATGATGCTGGAAACAGAGTACGCAGTGTGTATATGCATCTCTGAAAAAGATGAAGTCCAACCAAGGTCCCATTATACGCACATTTGGCCCCTAATTGTGTTTGCGCGTGTTCTCGTTTGACCCCTACATGTTAAGCTGCTGGCAGCTCCCTATTGGCAGTTCCAAATAAAAAAAAGAAACATGATTTCGACTGGAGGCTTTGGTTTTGGGAATAATTTTTTCACCTTTTGGGTGATAACGACAAGAACTTCAAATTTCGGTGCACCATTACATCAAAATAAATAAATAAATATATCTATATAGTACGAAAATATACAGATGTCACCATCTGCAGCTGCTAGCTATCTTGAGCTGTTCTTGCACTATCAAATTCTGGAAAAAGAACCTTAAAAGTAGATGTGGAAAATCATGGGTGAGTAATTATAGAAAAAGCAAGCAAGCAATCAATTCATTTAAATTAATATATCTTATTTTCCTATTTTTGGTGGGACAAACATGATAAGGGTCAGGACTCAGAATGATTCAGATATGAAGTAATCATCCACTGTGTTGTTGCGTGTTATTAACAAGGTCTTAAATATCGATAGTTTTGAAAGTATCGGTGGTTCAAAAACACGGAAATATCGATGGAAATATCGGAAAAATATCGATATCGATAAAAATTAGATAAAAACCACAGAAATTGTGATAAATACATTGAAATTTTTAATGAAACTTTATAAGAAGTTTATTTAGTCAATCATCTATTATTTTGACACAAAAAATTAGAAGGAAGTGCATTGCATAGTGGGTTTGAGTGATTTAAGTTGATTATATTGCGAGATGACAAACTCCGTGACTTAGAAAATATGGAGTAATTAATGAAGAGAATTAAACACCCCATAGTAATTTATTTATTATTTTTAGTACAATGTTTTACACTTTATAAATTGCATGGTAAGATACATGTGTAACCTTATTTCACATTATTCATTGGACATGGTACATGTTCTTATATTTATTATTTATCAAAAATTGAAAAATAATTAAACCAACTTGACTTTTCATGAAAATTAGGCACTTTACCATACTTAAAAAATAATAGTGAAGATTGAAAATTAACTAAGAACATAAATAAATTTATCAAAGGAAGAATTAAGTAGTAAACAAAGAAAATAATTATAGAGATTTAAGTAATTAAGCAACAATTTGAAGGGGAATTTAGTAATGTAAGTACTTATAATGAATAATAAAATAATCAATAACATTAAATGGATTAAATAGAAAAGAAATAAATTATATTAATGGCCAGTTTGGCATTGCTGTGCTGTGAAAATAATCGCTGTCAGATTTGCTGTGAGAGAAATCAGCTGTGAGAGAAAGCAGTTTGGCGTTTGGTAAAATTTTTGTTAAAAGTGTTGTTGATATTGATTTTACGCATAATCAAAAAATGATTGCCGCATAATCATTAAACCCAGCGCATCTTTGAAACTGATTCCTGCATAATCAGAAAATGAAAGCACCTCATTAGCTGCTTTCCCTTGTAGCTTTCTCTCACAGCAATTTTTAACAATAAGTGATTTTCTCACAGTTTACCAAACATGTTGTGCTTCTCAAAATTTTAAAAAAATCACTTATTACCCCAAATAAGCAATGCCAAACGGGCACTAAGTAATTAAGTAACTGATCAACAATATAAAACAATAAGTAATTATGTTAATTTCTATTTTGAGAAACAGCTTGCATGTATTATAAATACATATTCCATAGCTTATTATCACAAAGTGATGACTGGTGTGATGATTAAGTGGCTGCAGACCTTAGAATGGGAAAGGGGTTCGAACCCCTGCATGTATGAAGTGATTTCTCTTTAATTTTCGAAAGTTCATATCGTGATATTATCAATAATATCGTGATATTTTGACCATTTAAAGCTGTCAATTGAACGAAAATATCTTAACTGAAATATTGGTGAAATTATCGATAAATTGACGATATATAGCTGGAAATGTGCTAAAATATCGCTATCCCAAAAAAACGATAATTTCACCAAAATATCAACAAAATTATCGATTTTTCGTACTGTGGTTATTAAGCAACCCAACGCATATGACGTTTGGGACAAGGAAAAGGCTGTGCCAAGCCAACCGATTTCTTACTCATATTATCTTCATAAATAACAAAGAGTGGGCAAAATGAAATGATGCCATTATTATTATTCTTCTTTATTCTGGTTTCTGATTGGCGGAGGGCATGTGGGTGACGATGAAAGCCAAGTCCACTAACAACTCTCCACCTACCATGTAGCCCTCTTAAGTGCTTACCACTTCATCTTTCTTTCTATTTCATCTCTCTTAACTAATATCAAAATTTATAATAAAATTTAGGGTGGAAAGGGACCTATTCAGCTGCCGGCGTCAGTTAAAACAAAACCATCTGATCAATTGGGTTGGTTTGCGTGGACTCAATCCAACGCCTCTTGTTGCTTTAATTATATTTTTTAACCGAGATCGACATACAGGTACTCAAACTTGTATGCAAGAGAACCGACTCACAACCCTAATGAGTTGACATAATCACCTTAGGTTTTTTTTTAATCACATCTTTGTTGTTGATAATTATAATATAGTCTCAACAGTGGAAAGGCCTGCCTGCCTGCCCTTTCAATATCATGCCAACTCCATGCTATTGCTTTCCTTATCGCTTTCCTTCCAATACAAAACAATGCCACCAAAACAGAGTCAAAAACCATGTCCATGACCCAAACCCTCTCCTTCTTTCTTTCCTCCTTCCCTTCCCAATGAATTTCTTTTGCATATAAAAATACAAAAACAACCCAACTCAATTTCCCTTTTTCCTTCTTCAAACCATCAAAAGCAAACCAAAATTCCATTTTCTTGCCAATTCCATTCTTTCATATACATTTTTTTTCCTTTTCATATTTGCTTCATTGCTAATTATGGCCATATCTCCACAAGCATTCCCGCCCAGAAAACGCCGGCCTTCTGCGGGGGCGTTCATGTCGCCGAAGTTCTCCGATCAGAGCCTCCTCCGCTGTCTCCTCTCCATCTGCCAAGAAATCTCCTCCCTCGAACCTCTCCGCTTCCTTCTCCGACGAACCTCCCTCTCCATGATCCGCAAGACCAATCTTCTCTCCATGCTCTTCGAAGACCTCGTCCGAAACTCCACCGCCGCCTTCTCTCCCTCCTCCCTGCTTTGCTTCCAGGAGCTCTACATCCTGCTGCAGAGGATCCAAACTCTGATCGAAGACTCATCCCACGGGAGCAAGATGTGGCTTCTCATCCAGACCGAGTCCCTCGCCAACTGCTTCCACGAGTTCACCCTCGACCTGTCCACCTTGCTCGATATTCTCCCCATCAAGGAGCTCCGATTAAACGACGACGTAGAGGAGGTCGTTTCTCTGCTCCGAAACCAATGCTCGCGGAGCACGACGAAATCGTTCGTGGATCCCCTAGACGACGATCTCAGGCGCGAGGTCTGCACCATGCTCGATCGCCTCAAGAGCGAGATCGTCCCTGACCATTCCAGGCTCTCCAAGATTTTCATCCGATTAGGGATCGACAGCTCTGCGAGCTGCACAGAGGAGTTCGAGAGTCTTCAAGACGAGTTTCAGAACCAAACAGAGGAGAAATCCAAATCGCAGCTCATCGCTCTCGTCGGACTCGTCCGCTACGCCAAGTGCGTTCTTTTCGGATCCTCCACTCCTGGATCCGATTTGATCCGAAGAAAATCATCATCGGAGCTGGGTTTCCCGGTGGATTTCCGGTGCCCGATCAGTTTGGAGCTAATGCGGGACCCAGTCGCCGTGGCAACAGGTCAGACATACGATCGAGAGTCGATAAAGCTATGGATCGAGTCAGGTCACAACACGTGTCCCAAAACAGGTCAAACCCTGGCCCACACTGACCTCATCCCTAACCGCGCATTGAGAAATCTCATCGCCATGTGGTGCCGGGAGCAAAGAATCCCTTTCGAAACCGCGGAGAATAATAAGGGACTGGTCAACGCCGTCAAAAAGAACAAGGCGGCTCTCGAAGCCACCAGAATGACGGCGTCGTTTTTGGTTAATAAGCTTTCGGTTTCTCAGTCAATGGAGGCTGCAAACGGCGTCGTCTACGAGCTGCGCAGTTTGGCCAAGACAGACTCTGATTGCCGCGCCTGCATTGCCGAAGCCGGAGCTATCCCATTGCTTGTACGGTACTTAAGCTCGGACGTCGGCGGGGCCCAACCTAACCTCCAGGTAAACGCCGTGACGGCGATTCTTAACCTCTCCATTTTGGAAGCGAACAAGACCCGGATTATGGAGACGGACGGAGCTCTTAACGGCGTCATCGAGGTGCTGCGTTCGGGAGCCACGTGGGAGGCGAAGGGGAACGCGGCGGCTACGATATTCAGCTTATCGGGTGTGCACGGGTACAGGAAGAGACTGGGGAGGAAGACACGTGTCATCAAGGGGTTGTTGGAGTTGGCGAAAGAAGGGCCCGAGCATGGGTGTTTTAGAAGGGACGCGATGGTGGCCATATTGAATTTGGCAGGAGAGAGAGAGGCGGTGGCGAGGTTGGTGGAAGGCGGGGTGGTGGAGATGATCGTACAAGTGATGGAGGGGCTACCGGAGGAGGCGGTGACCGTGTTGGAAGCTGTGGTGAGAAGCGGCGGGATATTGGCAATCGCGGCGGCATACTGTGCGATTAGGAAATTGGGGTGTGTGTTGAGAGAAGGGTCGGAGAGGGCGCGGGAGAGTGCGGCGGCGACCCTTGTGACGATATGTCGAAAAGGGGGCTCGGAGATGGTGGCTGAATTGGCTTCCATGCCGGGGATTGAGAGGGTAATATGGGAATTGATGGGGGTGGGGACGGTGAGGGCAAGGCGGAAAGCGGCGTCGTTGTTGAGGATTCTGAGGAGATGGGCTGCGGGTTTGGATAGTGAGGTGGCGGATGAAGGGTATTCACAAGTTGTGAGTTCATCAATAGCAGCAACGACAACTGTTGCTGGCTAAGCTAATTAGAGTTTGGTTTTACTAGAGATTTGGTTCAATGAAGTTGTAAATGTTTATAGTGATTTTCATCTTCTTTGTTTTGTTCGACGATAGATTAAAAATATCTCATTCATTCTTTATTTCTTCATCTTGATATCCATTCTTCTTCAAGAAAAAAAAACCAAAGAAATATAGCTGATCACCCATGTAACCACTAACTAGTGAATCTCACAATGAACCAACTAAACTGACAATTAGAGCTAGTGACTCTACCTTCCCCTCAATCAATAAACTAGGCCCTTTCAAATAAACCCAACTTATTTCAATCCGTGGACACTCACTACAAATTCGTTGCCGATTTGAGAACAGGGTCACTCTCTCTCTTCTGCACTTGTTTTGCCATTCTTCAGTCCGTCTATTTTTTTGGGCAAGGATTTTCAGACCGTCTATTAGAGGGCCAAAGTCTAAAAAACTTGTTTGGTTTTAAATTCTCACGAGCCCAATGAGCTCAAACGAGCCCAAGCCTTAGCTCGAAACTTTTGGAATTGGGCAAGTCGTCAAGCATGTCCTGTTTGCCTGATATTTATGCCTTCATCGGTTCGTCACCCCATCTCCCCACCAAATCCAGCTCTGCACTGGCTGCATTTAATTTTGGACTAAAGACTAGGCTGTCTACTAACCCATACTGGCATACTGCATGAGCCGGACAAACATTCCCATAGCAAAACCTTCTCTGAAAAAGACATACGGTAGAATCGTAACCATAGAATACGACCCTAATCTAATCTCGAAATACATAAATTCGTCCCATACATACAGATACAGTATGCTGATGGTACATCCAACTTTGAGGATAGCGTTTAACATATGACAAATGATCCCTAGAGTTCAATTCTTTGTCCTCCTCCTCCTTCCACATGCAAACAATTGTCATAAACTACTACATATCCCTGAAAACAGCACGGAAGTTTCAGTTGGTCCCCCCTCTCCCTTCTCTCCTTCTCTCCTTCTCTAGAGATTGAAACACACACACAGACGCTGGTGGTTTTGGTCCTGTTCCTTTCAGAGCAGTCAGCAGAAGGGGACCAATTGACCAAAAACCCCATGCCATTGTGTGCCCACTGTTGGCTTGACAAACTGTCGGTCTCTTATGCAAAGACCCGAGCCAAGCCAAGAAGCAAGCTCACCGTGAACGTCCTCCGCTCTGTGCCTCTTTGGCTTTTATGTTTTTGTTTGGGCATGCGTTTCTGGTTTGTTTTGTACCATTCTTTGACTCATTTTCTTTTTCTGAATAATAACCAGTGGGTTTGTACCGTTTGAGTTTGCTGTTACTTGGGTTGGGTTGAAATTCTTATTTGGGTTGGACTTGCAATTGAAGAATTTATTTGACCCAAGAAGCCCGAGGAAGGAAACAACAAATTAAAGCACCAAACAAGAAAAGGAAGGCAAAAAAATGCGGATGGGACACTCATAATGCTGAGTCACAAGGCAAAACCTGTACAATACAAAAGCTTCTCTCTATAGCTTTCTGTCTTTTTCTACTTTATAAAATCTACTCTTCCTTTGATAGACAAAATATATATATATATATATAAAAGTTGGAAACACACACTTGTGCTTGCGGGTGGCAATGCAATGTGTTTGCTTATGGTCTGAAGTCTGGAGCTGAAATGAATGGCAACTCTGAGAGTTTCCCAAGGGCCAAAGACTTGTTGTACTGGTTATTTTTAACCTAGAAGCTGCCCTTTGTCTTTGTGGTATTTTTTTGCCATATGTGACCTAGATGCCAAGGAAATATGAAACTGGGTCCCTCTGTAGTTAGGATCCCTCTGTAGTTTAGGGCCCCAGGCTAGGCTGCATGTAAGCCACTTTGAGAAAACTGTGAAGACCCTGATAAGCCGTAGTACGATAAGAAAGAACCCCACAGTCACGATAAATAAACACCCTCACCAATATACACAGACACACAGAGGCTTTAAAACAGAGAGAATCATTTACAGGAAGTTGTTAAACAAGTAAGCAAATTAGTTATCACTGGTAACTTAATAAGAGAAGAGAACACAGTTTTCTTTATGGTTAGGTGATTAGGCGTCACAACCAGGAGGATTGCCATTTTACCACCTGGCCCCTATTGGACCCCATTTTACAATCCTTCTGTGGACCCCATCCCCTTTACCCTCCAAATTCCAAAAGCCTCTCCCTTTATTTATCTTCAATAAGCTTACTCCAAAAAGCAGAGTGAGAGAGAATGAGTGAGTGCTAAAAAGACTTTTAAGTCATCTCTTTCTTTCTTTCTTTATTTCTGTCTTTCACATATTACTGAGAGAAACTAGAGAGAGGTGGTGATGGGTAACCACAAGTTTAGATTATCAGATATGATGCCCAATGCCTGGTTTCACAAGCTCAAAGACATGAGCAAACCCAGAAAAAACCCCAACAGCCCCCATCACTCCAAGAAGAAAAAACAACAACAGCAAAAACCAACATTTGCTTCAACTGCAAAATTTACAGAGCCATCAAAACCAAAGCAGCAGCTACCCCACCAATGTCTTCCAAGACAGTCTTACTACTTCACAAGGGAGCTTGCTAGCCCTGCCCCAGGTCACAGGTTCTGCAGCTCCTCCCCCACAAACCCAAAAGCCTCAGACACCAATTTCCCTGACCCACCACCCAAAAAACCATCCAAACAAAAACCCAAGAAGAGAATCACCAGCTTACCCTCTGATCCTCACCTTGTCTCCTCCTCTGTTTCTGCCGGCTGTGGCTGCGGCGCCACCATTGAATCCGTTTGGACTAAATCTGATTCCCCACCAGAGCTCTGGTCTTCTTCAACCTTTGACAGCTCCCCAGAGCTCGAGTCTCATGATGAAGACGATGGCGAGCTTGAGCTTCATGAGCCTGAATTCAGGTGTGACCGTGTTCTTACTACTGAGACTTTTGATGGGATGGTTTCAATGTCGAGTTCATGCGCTGCTTACCTTGCTGATTCTGAGGAAAAAGACGTCGTTATCGACGTGGATAAGGCATCTCTGAGTACGAAATTATCTGATATGGCTGATGATGGGTTGTATTCATTTTCTGAGCTTGAGCTTGCTCCAATTATAACCAAGCCACCGAAATTCAGTGAAATGGTGAGAGATGTGAAGAAGAAGAAAGAGACAAAAGAGCCAAGCAGATGCAGAAGAAGCTCAGCTAAATTTCAGGATAGAAATGCACACGGGTCTCTGTCTGTCAAGGTTGTGAAGGAAGAGAGCACAAGCACAAAAACCATCAAAGAACAGAGGACTGGTAGCTCTGTTAGAAGAGTTTCATTAAATGCTACTTCTCCAGGAGTTAGGCTTCGGATGAATTCACCAAGAATTGCTAACAGGAAAATCAACCAGGCCAATCTCAGCCGTCGGAGTGTGTCATCAAACTCGAGCTCAAAGCGGAGGAGCCTCTCTGAAAGCTTTGCAATTGTCAAGTCTTCATTTGACCCTCAGAGGGATTTCAGGGAGTCAATGGTGGAGATGATTATGGAGAACAACATCAAGGCATCAAAGGACTTGGAAGATCTTCTTGCATGTTATCTCTCTTTGAACTCAGATGAATATCACGAGCTCATCATCAAGGTCTTCAAGCAAATCTGGTTTGATCTCACTGACCTCAGGTCCAAGTAATTGCAAGTTTCCAAGAACTGAACTGTATATTATTAGTCTTTTTCTGGTTTTTAATAAACTTACTTACTACATTTTAGTGCAGTCGACTGTTAAAAGTTTCAATCTTTGAAGATAACCAGGTTATCAAAATGCAGTCTTTAATTGCAAGTAGAAATTTAAGACAGTAAAAGTTTCAGTCTTTGAAGACATAACATGAGTTTTTATCCATGTTATTCTTTTGTGTTTTATATGGAGAAACCAAGAGGGCATAAATTTTGGTTTCTGAATTTGAGCATTTCATGGACCCTCAACCAATTTGGGTATGATACACACATAAATTGATTGTTGGAGGACCCAATCTGCCATTGAACAAACACTGACAGCTTCTCTTTTTTTTTCCCAACAAAAGAAGATACACTTTAAGGACAAAATTTATGCTTTGAAGTCTTTATTTTTACCCCTCTAAATTGAGTATGGTCTCTCTGGCAGTATGTTCTTCGGCTTTCAGACCCTGCCACTCCGAATTCTGGCAAAGCCCTTTGTTCAGTAGCTTCAGAGGTGACTGAAGAGCCGTACATAATTTCAAAATAAGACCAAGTCCATAAAACACTGAAAAGCTGGGAAGTGAGAATTCAAATCCTATTGCTAGAGGCCTAGACCATGCCTATAATAAAAACTGTTGCGGTGTAAATTTTCAAAAGTAAAAGTGATGACTTCGAAGATTTCAAAAGCAGTGTAACCTTTTCAAACCCTTGGATTTTGGATGCAGGGCATGCAATTTGTTTTATGAAAAGGGAATCATTCGGCCTACCAAAGAGGATTTGTTTGGTTTGGTTTGGTTTATATATATATATATGCATATATGCCAGACGAATGATTCTGATTGATTGGCTTCGTGAAAGAAAACAAAGTAATTGGTAATTGGTGAGCTTCCTTTTGTATATGAATTTTTTTTGTGACTTGGGCCTGCGCTCTTGTTGGTAATGACTTGTTTTCTGTGGCAGTAACAGTTCTAACCAATAAATGAAAAGAAAGCACCAAGTTTTTGTAGTGTCTTTCTGGGACATGGAGTTTCAAGCTTTACACACATAGGGTTAGCACGAGAAAAAAGAAAAGAAAGAAAAGTAGAACATTATCTTAATCACATTTCTTATTCTTTCAACTCCCTAACTTTACGGTTTCAATTTATTTCTGTCGGATTCTAAGAAAACTTAATTTGCTTGTTCTCGATTGACTTCCTGAATTTTGCATTAATTTGGAATGTCAATTAGTTTTACTTACAAGAAACCTTGCTTAATTATCACTAATCTCCACCTAACAAAACATGTCCACACGCATTGCAATATTAGGTTGCACTCTTGTTTGCTTTAGCTTACATAGAAACCCGTTTAACAACCAAGAAAATGGGAATTAGTAGCTAACCAACTCTGTGTTAAGAGCTAAATGAGCTCCATAATGACTTCTTTTGGCGTTTTGTTAACATCAAAACTTGAATGTGAGACAAACAGTGTATATATAACAACATTTTAATTATTGGCGTATAGTAAGAATTGGATGTAACACTCAACCCACCCAAATTTTAGCTGTAGCTAGCTAGCTTATTTGTTTTTTTTTGGGAAGACCTTTTCTATTGAGAGAGACGATAACATACTAAACTCACACACACTACACGGATGCTAAGACTCGAACCCAAGAACTTTCCTGATAAAAAGATACTGTGGGGTGATAAAAAGAAAGAAAAATCTGTTAGTTTTTAGTAGGGGTGACATTTTAGACCGAAAAACAGCAAAAACCAACCGACAATTTACCGCAATGGAACCGCAATCACGGGAAACTGAACCGCATTTGCGGTTGTGGTTGCGGTATTTGATTTTCAAAACTTACGATTACCGCAAACCGCGACTATATTTATAAATAAAAAAAATTGCATTTTGTATATAGCATTGGTGCTCAAACAACACAACGAGGTCCTTCAAATCTATTCACCACCACCAACACTTGAGTTTGTAACTTTAATTTGTAACATTGGTGCATTACATTTTCCTTTTGGTTTTTTACTTTAAAGGATTTGGAATTGGAATGCTTGAGAAGTTGAGGTTGTGAATGCTTGAGAAGTTGAGGTTGTGAATGCTTGAGAAGTTTAACTTCAATTGGAATGCTTGAAATTGTAACTTTAATTTTCTTTAGGTTGTGAATGCTTGAGAAGTTGAGGAGGTTAAGAATTTATATATGCTTGAGAAGTTGAGAATTTATATATGCTTGAGAAGTTGAGGTTGTGAATTTATATTTTTGGGTTAAAATATGTTTGAAATCAAAAGGCTTCAAAAGAAGCATCAAAATTAGGCCTAAAATGTGGAAGATTAGATTTTTATGACACAAAAAGAATTTGCGATTTTAAACCGCTAATTCATGGTAACCGACCGCTTTTTGCAGTTTCAAAAATCACCATGCCGCAAATAGTCGGTTAGTTTGCAGTTTGGGCAAAAATTCACGATTACCAAACCTTAACCACTCCTAGTTTTTAGCATTTGTGTTAAGTCAATAAAACACACTGGCCCTACAACATGATATTAATAACACCTATATATTTATTGCAACCTATTGTTTAGGCAGGAGCTTACCATTGAAATTCCGCAAACCGCAAATGTATTTTATTTGGGTCACACACTAACCAGAAAAGAACAAAAACATGATGTATATATCTTGTGGACAGAGTCAATATATATACGTATATCTTAATCCCGATTTCAGAATATAAAACATGTAATGAACATGCAACCACTTTGTTTGATATTGCAACAAAACAAAAAATAAAAAACAAAAACAAAAAAAGCAGAGAAAAATAAAGTGTGTGCATGCATCTGTCACTCTCCTACCCTTTAGCAATTACGGAACTCGGAGTGAAAATCAGACTTGCATCCCAGTAGTTTAAGGAAATATACTGTATATAAGTATCGCATTCGCACCTAAAAGCAAAAAGAAAAGTAAGTATACAAGTATCGCATTCGCAACTAAAAGCAAAAAGAAAAGTAGGCATAAAATTACATCTGAATTATGTAAATGACTGTTCTAAATTTTTTATTTTTTTTATTTTTTTCTACAAGTGATACTGATGCTCTAAATTACTCTAATCTACAGAGAGAGAGAGAGGGGGATCAAACTCGAGTGCAAGAGAACGGGCATACTTTTTTGGCCAACTAACTTAACTCACATATACAAATTCTTAATAAGATTTGAGAATCTAATTAAGAAACATATCATAAGCAAACATTACAAGTACTACATGTACTAAATTTGTTGACCATATCTTGACAAGGTGAGACCCGTCGGTTGATCTTCCAAGTCCTATTAGTAGAGGCCTAACATGTACAATAATTGTTTTACCATGCTAGCATCTTGAGCCAAACCCCACAAGCCGATATACATTATGTATGGGGCAGAATTTATTACATAATTATTTTACAATGATTCAAAAGGAGTTGGACGGTTGAGATTAACTGGTTTTAAGTTGCAGGGTGTGTCGGCGAGCCGCAAGGAGAGACAGTCAGAGGACAGAAACTGATGATCGAGGGCTCGATGACGTAGAGAGAACGAAAGCACCACAACATACATCCGCAGATTCTGGATTTTTGCAGTGGTCGCCATTGTCATGTAATGTAATGTAAAGAAGCTGAGCTCTCAGCTATAGTTTGGTAAGCAAGACACAGGTCAGACAAGGGTAGGGGGGCAACAACCAGCTCGATATATTTCGTTTTATAAAAATCTTCCACGTGTGGTATGCCTAAACAGTTTCTTTGTTTTTTGTTTTCTTTCTTACGTGGCTATCTAGCCATGTACTATTGTTGATATGATTTCTCATCGACAAATGTATAACAATTTGGGTTGGTAAGAATAATGAATGGTTTGTGCCCAAAAATTGACTTGGTCAGCTGATCAGATTAGGGTAATCTACAACAGACACAAATTGAGGGTACTGATATTACTATATTTACTAAATTAGTTGAGCCCACGCTTTATGTTGTTAGGTGCTTTTTTAGAAAACGTGTTTTGTGATTCATAAGCACTTGGACCTTTCAGAAGCACTCGTAAAACACAAACTTATTACGTCTATGATAAATTTTATAGTAGAGATTGGTATGCTATATATGAACACACTTTAATAAAAACAAACCAATTGGATTGACAGGTTCATTGGATCATTAAAAATCATTTCATTGTATAAAAACACCCCACGCAAATTTTGGGTATTTTTCATCATAAGATGTGGACTGCTCATAATCAATTAGGAGACAAACTCACATTCTAAATGCTCAAGAATTTTCACACCTTCTTTTTCTTCTTTAATGTGCGTGTATATATATATGGACCTCACCCACCGTCCTTTGGTGGCCCTCCAAGCAGTTTAAGTAACAAAAACAAATAGACAACCTAGCATGCTAATGCTATGCATGCGTACTTAAATCCAAACCCTAATGTGATAAGTTCAGTTTATAAGGTAGCTGAAAAGATAAAAGAAATTCGATTAAAAGCTACCATAATTGGTTTTGGATGGAAAGAAAAATGCGTGCACGTGTAGGAGACAAAAAAATCTTTGCAGAATTTATGGGTGTAGACGACAACCGATCTGCACACGGCGTGAGAGAGATTGAGTAAGACGCTGACTCTCAAGCCTCATGTGCGGATTGTCTCTACCTGGTCCAAAATTTCAACTCTCTCTGTTTTTATGATTTACCATCCCCACCACTTTGCACTAGGAAACAAATGAAATTTATCTATGGGCTCGAGATTTGGGCACATCACTGCCTCATAAGTCATCTATTTATTTTCCCCGCTACCAAACACAGAAACAAACAGTTAAAGTCTTCGACCAAAAACCAAAAAAAAACAGTAAAGTCCAAATGAGTCTCTGTGAGGTTGATTAGATGTTATGCACGCTACTAAAAATTATCATCCTCTTAATAAGTTGATGTGAGAATAAATTGGAAACTACATATTTCATGCTTTTGCTTTTGCTTTTGGAGTTTTTGTTTCCTGACAATTGTTGGAGTGAATATAAATTAGTTTTATGCATGCACCTGTCAATGACCATATATCTTGTTTATGAGGGACAGCAAAACGAGCGTGATCAGTTTCCAAAATATTGAACTACAGATGAATAGAAAGTTAAAAACAACGTATCGGAAATTTTGACCACATTTGTTTAGATCCGTACTTGAATGAATATCACATACATCCACGGTTAACAACGAATCAAACACATAATTTTCTGATCCCATTTGCTCAGATTCATGCTTGAACGAATATCACATACATCAATAGTTAACAACGAATCAGACACATAACTTTCTGATCACATTCGCTCGGATTCGTACTTAAATGAATATCACATACATCAATGATTAACAACAAATTGGACACATAACTTTCATAAAGCAAAAGTAAACCAAATTAACTGATGGCAAAAGCTTTTCTTACCTAAGTTTTGTATTTATTATTTCCCTTATTTTTTGGGTTCAAAGTGTGGCTAAAAGGTGCATGATATATCCTCTTTTTGATTGAGTCTATCTTAGGAGTTTTGGCTTTTGCATACGAGATGGAACACGATTTCACTCATATAGGTAGGCCGGTGATGATCACATGTTTGTTAGAGAAAGCATAGTTATTTTAGGGGAAACAAATGGGGGTCCAAAATTTATTATTACTTTATATTGGTGGGATCGACTTTTGTCATGATCAAATTTCAAACTTCAGATTTAGTTGATGCGATTAGATTGGTGAGTTAACAAGAGGAAATGATTAAAGGGAGGCCCCTCCGACAACGCCAATATAGTGGAGGGATTATGGTAAGGATTCTGTGATTAATTAACCCCGGAATACGAGGGTACTCTGATGTGTACATTCGATTCTAATTCAGGGCTCAAAAATCTCTCTCTTGTTATGTCATGGGGTCTCCGCCAACAGTGACATCTCAACCAAACAAATCTAATCTGCTGTTGCCCTGAATTGCGAAGCTTCACTCTTTGTCACTAACCAACAGAATAAACATGACAATCAAACAAGAATCTTTAGGTTAAGAAAATTGTACCCAAATTATTGAGAAGGTTGTTTTCATTGATAGTTTCCAGAATAAACAATCAATTTGTATATGAGAATGGGCAGAATGGGCCTCATGCCAACCCATTTGGAATTCAACTATAAAGGTTCATTTCATTATGAACAGTTTTATATGCACCCATCAATTTAGTTAGTGCGCCCAATGTCTGGAAAATAATATCAAACGGTCCAATTTGGTGGATTATGCTCAATGCCGTATTCACTTGCTTGCAAAAAAGAAACTGGAAATGATAAAGAAAATCGACTTCCTGTCATCTTCTTGAAAATGATTTTAGGATCAGAGAAGTAACATATACAAAATCATCTTATTACATGCAAAATTCTATAACGAGGGTGTCATATATCTAGAACGACTCCTTGATAGAATTTCATAACACATCGGCCCAATATTAAAGGTCTTTTTTATTTTCTTGGACTATCCTCTTCAAGTCCGTGGCCATGAGGGTGAAGGCTTCAACTTTGGTGTAGCACTTTAGAGTTGTGGTCGAGATGGGTAAGTCCGAAAGAGAGACCTTTGTCAAGACGGGTAAGTTAGAAGAGGAGGTAACACTATTTGATGCCCACTTTACAAGTTCTTCTCCATAAATATCACCTTTGTCAAGACAGATGGTTGTTGTTGAGCCATTTGTTCCATTATTATTAGTGGCATAGGTCAATATCTTGCCTTGCAGGATGAAGACCATCTTACCAAGTGGTTCCCCTTCTCGAATAATATAACTGTCCTCACCATAGAACACGGGATGAAAATTCCAACAAATTGCTTCCAATGATCTATCATCCATAGTTTGAAACATTGGAACCTAGAGACGTTAAATATCAATGAGAAAACTAAAGACATTGAATCCCATATAAAAGGAACATATTTACAACTTTCTAGTATAGATATGAAAATTTATAGCGAATAAATGAAGCCTTGTTATACGAGGAATTTTTGGGTGTGACTCTCTCTTTCTCTCGCGCACTCTCTAATAAGAATATCCTTATATTTCTAGACTGTAATTTATTGTACGAAATTGTTCAATTTTTAGGTTTGCTATCCATGCAAAAAGATCAACTAAATCGAGAATTGTTTAACTGTTCGTTTCATTTTGTAAGTTTTTCTTATTATCATAATGCCATATAACATCAGTTTGGATTTTACAAGATGTGGAGGTCAAGAAATGTTGTAAAAATAAATATTTGTCCCGTGATCCAAGAAATGTGGGAAAAAGATGTATATTATAAAACTTACTTCCTTTAGCACATTCCACCATAGATGTTTCGCCATTTTGTGTATCACTACCATGGATATAACAGATCCGATACTCTGAATATTAATATCTTTGTTTTCGTCAAGATTGTTCAGTACGCTTGTCAGGATCCTATCCTTCATACTGAAAGGGAGGCCAATTTTTCGTAACCACAATCTTATCTCGAAATCTCTCTTGCTCGTCATTTTCATAAACTTTAATGTTGTAGCTGCAGACTGCGGAATCCATGAAAACTTTGTTAGTTCATTAAATTATTCAACTTTAAGACATGTTCTGCGAGATCAGTACAGAGAGCATAGCTTCTTTATCTATTCCAGAAGCTATCCAATTACACAAAATGAAGCTGAAACCAAACTGTTATAAACAATAGACCATGACTGCTCATGAAGAAAACCAAGATTTCTTGTCAGGACAGGAACCAGCAAACGTGGTATATTTATTAGAAATAAAGAAGAAGATTTACCACGACTTTTAAGTTAGCCTAAAGAAATTTTCAATATAAACATACACACTAACCTGCAAAATTCCTTGAAGATATATTAAAAATAGTAGCATGCCAGTTAAAGAAATAAAAATCGCGAAGAGATTCTCCCATGCATAGTTGCTGGTCTGAAGATTTTGACCAAAAGAACTGCAAAAGTTAGCGGAGCAAGCAAATATCAGATCATAAATTCATACAACATTAATCATAACAATCGGATCGTCATTGACTAAGCAATTCCACAATCACCAGCCGTTAAATCAAAATTCAATTGTCGACCATATATGATATATAGATAAAAAAGAAGACATGCTTAAACCAAATAACATAAAAAGGCAACAACAATCGACAAGACAAAACGACAGTTGCAAATCATCTTGACTTGCTTTGTTTTCTGTTTGTTTTTGTTGTAACATATATAGTTCAATATACAAAATCCAATTAACAGATATGCAAACCTTAGATTCCGCAAGCCCCACCAGAAATAGTGCAGCAATTTTGGTCGAAAATCGGTTGTCCCCACCATACCAGATTGAAGAGAATCAAGAAATATACCGAAGTTGAAGACCGTTGCATTTGATGGATTTATAGGACACAATTCACTTAGAAGTGTGATATTTCTCAATGTACGATCATCATCACAGTCGAAACTTTTAACTTCACACCCATTTTTACTTTGACACGCATATTGCCAGCAAGCTGTCTCTCTTTGTATAGAGAAAAAGTACCAAAGAGCTGCAAATGCCTAAAACAAAAACAAATTAACAATATTACTCGTTGAACAAGAAGAAGAAAAAAAGCAACCGCGAGAAACTTGTTACATTTTGGTTTTGCTAATTAGTAAGATAATAAGTATTGAAACTTACATGACTTACGACGATGATCGCAAAGGATTGGTAAATACCTTTAACCCATTTTCCTCTTGGAAATAAGTAAAGTTCCTGGGTTGCAAAATATATGCAAAGAACTCGCGGTAGGTATTGAAATAAAATAAGAAAGTTTAGAATCAAAGATGCCGGGCCCTTCATTTTTGTAAAAAAAATGAAAATTACTACCTGCACACATTCCAGAAGCTCAGGCCAAGGACTAAATCCAATTATCATATGACAAAATTGAAATAAATAAAACTAATTGGCAATGGAGGAGTGACCAAACTCTTCACAAAGTTTTACAAAATTTCTCCATGTGTGACAATTCATCCTCACACGAAACCTATTTTATAGTGAAATTTATATCCTAACAAGTTGTTATTCTCTTTGGACGTTAAAAGAAATAGATGAGATTATAAAAACAAATTTGTCGTACCTGGGGAATTGGCAGAATCGCCAAAATGTCAATTATCAAGAAACAAATTAGGATGCATGAGCGGGAAATCTTCCTCGTTAATGGGAAAACCCACTTAATTTTGTCCTCCCATTCGGTTTCACCATAAAAAATTTGAAAAATAATATGCACCATGTAGAATACATCAGTGAGTGATCGCAGAATAAGAACAACTTTCTTTAACTTTTTGTCCAATCCGAGACACTTGTTATCTTCGTTGACAATGGGGATGTATAAGAACAAGGGATCCACTAAGACTGAAAGCACACATGAACAAATAAACACAGAATGCCACACTACTGTGAACGTTTGCCAACTTGGATAAAGAATAGACGCCCATTTCGTTGTCGTTATACCTCCTCCATATGTCACCGTAGATTTTTCCTTCACAGTTTCATCTGGAATGCTGAAGAAGACAAAACGAAAACAAAATAAATTTTGCACCTATTAGCAATTAGCTACAAACATCAACGACGGAGCCACTGAACCTAAAGAAAATGGTCGTTGAGTTAGAGGAACTAACTTAATCTTCTGTTCGGAGATCTCCATGACTGCATATAGGAAGAACTGAGAGAGTGAATGATCATTTTTTTTTTAAAATCTGACAGTGAAGGAGAAAATGATTCATTTGAGGGAAAGAGGAGACAGAAAGGAGTTAGTTCAAGTATGTTTGGAGCTTTACATCAGACCAGAGTGATACCGCTTTGACTCAAATTGGTAGATCCGGACAAAGACAAGCATAGCAGGAACTCCGCAAATGAACATGCAGCAGGTCCTCGTTTTAAAACAAAAATTGGGAAGCTAAGTCAGCATTGAATATGGTTTATAATTGACTTCAAATTAAGACAGTAGGTCCACATCTTACAAATGTCAAGCTAGTTTCATATAAATTAAGATTTCAGTAAGACAAGCTTTCTTCGAGTTCTGGTATAAATCAGTTTATTAATCACTCAACTTAGCATCTTTTTCCAAAGTTGCTATTGATTAGGATCTCGGATAGCTAATAATAAAACATTAAAAGAAGACTAAGACCTTAAAACCGACAAGTCGGAAAGGAAGAAATTAGGGTGGGAATTGCTTTGATTACATTGACTTTATGTGAATAACAAAACATTACCAGTCATTCTGGGAATTGTTTTGAAATTAGGGTTAATTTCAATTTAGTACCATGAGATTTTTACCCTTAAGGTATATTTGTCTCTCCACTATCAATTTTAACGATTCCTAAGCTTTTTTATTTTTTGCAATCGGGTTCCGACGTTAGTCTTATCTCGTTAGAGCATTTCCACTCATTTGTCATGACAAAATGCAAAGGGAGGTTACTATTCACATGATATATGAGGAGATGAATTTGTATAGAGTTTTGGAGTCGGAAGTAAAGAATATGGCTAGGTATTTATATAATATTAAAAAAAATCTGAAATTTTGGGTTTTTCTTTCCAATTTTTTTGTTATTTAAATTTGCTGATGACGTCATCATTAAGTCATCTTACCCAGATAGCAGCCCAAGCAAGTCTTGCCTTGGGTCTTGCCCGAGCTGGTGGAGCCCAGCACTTGCCTTGGCTGCTGGAAGAAATAAACATAAATTGTTGATTAGGAGCCTAGGGGACCTCTTGCCTGGGCTAGCCTCTCCTGCTAGAGTTGCTCTTGAAATTTTCATTAACTGTTGATGTGACATATGTGGTATCCACTTTTTAAAACTTAAATTGCTTAAAATATGAATAAAACATTATATAAAAAATTAATTAAAAAAAAGAAAAAAATTATAAACATAAATAAAAAAGAAAAACCCATTAGCCTCAAGCAGCACCCCCTTCCCCGACCCCCAAACCCTACCCCCACCCCACAGCCTCAACCACACCACCCAAGCAGCCACCCGCTTCTCTCTCTCTCTCTCTCTCTCTCTCTCTCCCCATTCCACCCATCCAACGACACTACCAAGATTTATCCCCAAAAAGGCGAGGCCTTCTACACCCCCCGCCAAATTTGCACCACCTCTTTTCCTCGAGCCAACTTTTGCCATCGCCATTTGAAATGAAAGATAGATGACGATTTGAGCAGCTAGTTTTGTGGATGTTGGTTTTCTTTGCAGATTCAATTCCTTAGTTTCAAATGCTCATCACGAGGACCGAGATTTTCTGTGAGAACATGTAAAATATATATATTAAATCATTATTCATACTACATATTAATTATGTATTAATATGAATTTTTCTTATTTAAATATTTATTGTGAAGACTTATATGTTATTAAATCTTAAGCCTAGTATGAGATTATCCATTTAGTTGAAAGATGACACCATTCTTGTTATCCATGTGTAGAGACTTAGAATTGGTTTTAATCAAATCATCATTGTCATGCCACCTTACATGCTAGTAACAAGTGCTGTTGTGATGTCATTGGCCAAAGGTGGATGACTCACATTATTCATTACCTTTCTACCTTATCTTTTGGTGGTGGTGTTGTGATATCATTGGCCAAAGGGGGATGAGTCACATTATTCCCTACCTTTCTATCTTATCTTTTGGTGGTGGTGTTGTGATATCATTGGCCAAAGCGGGATGAGTCGCATTATTCCCTTACTTTTCTATCTTATCTTTTGGTGGTTTAAGATATTGTATATATAAATATTATTTGGGTGCATCCATAGCCTCTTATATAAGTATCATGCTTCGTTACTTCAATCATTCATTCCAATCCTTTAAGACAGATTTCTACCATGAAGTACTGAGAGAGAGATATATATATATATATAAGGAAGAAAAATAAATAAGATGAAGAGCGTGTGTGTTTGTCTTGCCATATTGCATACTTATCATAGTGAGTGGGTTATGTAATATGTTCTAAAAGTTCTTATTTTATGATAAATGTGAAAATCATGGGTTTATTCTATTTACAAATCTCTCTCTATTTTCAAGTCAAGCATGTTTAATTTGTGCAATATTTCACACAATATATATTATTTGGAGTTTTTGTGAAGTATGTATTATTCATGGAACATGAGAACTTCAGTGACGGGGTATCCGAAGGATATATGTACCAGACAGGGACATAGGGTAGTGAGGCCGATAGGGGTCACGTATTGGGTACAATTTGTGAAGGATAACCAAGATATGATTTGGATTGTGTATCTTTTTATTAAATTTTTCTAGAGTGTGTAAAATGACATTGTTTGACTGGCATATTACATAATCTACTCATTGAGCGGTGGTTTCCTCATGAGTAATGCTATTTAGACACACAAGATTGACCACATTAGCTAACCACCTTATGTAGCAGCTGATGTGGTCATGTCATGTCAATTAATGAATACTGTCATGTAGATTTTATTTTTATTTACTTTTTTTTAATAATCCTTAAAAACAACAAAATTAAAATTAATTATAATTAACCCTAGCATCTGTACGCTGTAGCAGGCTGCAACTTCATTCTCTACTCAACACTCCCTTCCTCCATCAAATCTACCTAGTAACACCACCAAGCCGCGCGAGAAACCTGACAAATCACATCAATCCATCTTGGAAGAACATTCATATTTAAAATAAAAATAGTTCATATTTTGGGAATTGTTCGACTTCGATTGTTCACCAGACCGCCCATTTGATTGGAAAGCTAATACTCCATTCCTAGCAACATACTAAAGCTTTAAAATTCTTTTTAATTCTTATATACATGACCAGAGAATATGAGATCTCAAAATCAATTCGGATTTTCTAGATAGCTAGTGAAATAGGCATTAAGATTTTTGAGTTGGATTTTCTTGATTAGTTGATTTGCAGAGTTGGGTTTGTTGAATCAAAGAATTGGTTTTCTTTTTGGAGAGAGATTGCAGGAGGATGAGCAAAGGCCAAAGGGGAAGGAGAAGGCAGCCAAAGGGATACAACGAAGAAGAAGAAAAGTTGAAAATATAAATTACTTAATTTAAAAAGGAAAAAATAACAACACAGTTGGCCACATTTAAGTGGCATGGCATATACACATCAGCTGCTATATAAGGTGGTAAGCTAATGTGGTCAATTTTGTGTGTCCAAGTAACATTACTCTTTGCTCATCCCTTACCTATTTTGTTTTTCAGATCAATTAGTGAGCAAGACAAAGCCGAAACCAAAGAAGTTGGATTAGTTTAAAGTGATAAACTTTTATTTATATCTTGTATGCTTGTAAGATTATTATAAATTTTTTTTTTCCATCTATATATATAAAGCAAAAGGCAGAGAATGGTGAAATATTCAAAATACCACAAAATTCCCTTAGTTAATTCAAACATTAAGAATTGAAATTATTAATTAAATAAGGATAATATGGTAAATTCACATTTTTTTCATATTAAAAATTTTTTTTTATAAAAAAAATCAGATACTAAGCCCTACTTTTATGGAACATAACTACCTATGTTATCTTTTCTTAATTGTAAAAATAAAAGAAAAAAGTAAACCAATTGGCACATGCTGCTAGTATATATATTGGTAATGTATTTTAACCAATTTTTAAGTCTTTTTATTTATTTCTTTCAATTCACACACCCAAATTCTAGAATATTCTTTATTTTCGAATCGAGTTGTGACATTTTCTATATCTTATGTGATCGTATATTTTGTTTTTGTTTCCGTGTGGGGGTAAATCTGGTTCTGCCTTTCCAACATACAATTACTTGTTCTGATGCTTGCGTTCTTTAGAGAGAGAGAGAGAGATGTGGGTGGCATGAAGGTAAATCAAATTTAAGGCTTTTCCTTAAATGGAACAATGATTGTTGCTGGTCTTTAACACATTGGCTGTGTCAAATTAGAGACTATGTTGAGAAGAATATTTCTCTGTGTATAGACAGAGCCAGAAAGCGAAGAATATATAGAGAGATTTACAAACCCTACAAGGAATCCTAGGTTTACTTAGAGACTACTCCTAAATCGATTACAATCAATTACAGAAAAGGAAATAAAGAAACTTCCTAATTTCCAACATTCCCCCTCAAGTTAGAGCATGGATATCAAGAATGCCCAACTTGCGTACAAGATTGTGAAAAGCATTACTTCCAAGGGCTTTTGTGAACAAATGCAGGTTAAACTGAGAGCTCATCATAGAAACTTGGTTTCTCTGGTTGGGTACTGTGATGAAGGGGAGACTATGGCACTTGTTTATAATTTCGTTGCTAATGGAAATTTGCAACAGCGTTTCTCAGCTGGTAAATCGATACGTATTCATATGAACTCGCTTTATGGGGATTGACCATCTATAAGCCTAATTCTCCTTTATTGCTCATTTTCAACAAAATTTAAAGAATTCTATGGTCACTGAAAACTTTTGGGTGCATATGTAACTTTACACGTTTTGACTTGGAAGGAGAGACTTCAAATTGCAGTTGATGCAGCACGAGGTAAGCACTAAAATAAAAATGAAATGAAGAATTATATATATAATCTAGTTTCTTCTCTTCCAGTTTTCAAAATTTAATTCTGCTCTTGTGTTCATCTTGGAAACATTAATGAAATAGTTATGACTAATGTATGTACATACATATATGTACCTATGTTTTTGTGTTGAAACACAAAACATAGTACGTTGCAAGAAAATTGTTAGTACCACTTTGCAAAACACAAGGGGGAGGTTGTTGTAGTAGCAGTGTAGTTCAGAAGTCCGAGTGTCATATTCACAGAGAAGAAGAAAAAATAACAGAAAATAAAAAAAAAAAAAAAAAAAAAAAAAAAAAAAAAAAAAGTAGATATAAATAGGATTTGATTAAAGAAAATTTAATTGATTAAAACACTAAGGCATTGGGTTCCACTTTCAGCATAAACATGCAATTCAAATTAATTTGATCCATAAAAGATGATTCCTAAGACCAGCAAAAGAGAATTGGAATTGCTCATATTGCAACAACTCCAACTTGTATTGAATAAACAAAGTTTCACCAATTAGCTGCCAGCCCACCTCTTCATTTTTATTTCTTCTCATCATCAATTTATCCAACACCACTTTCATTACTTTTGTATTCAATATCATTTCTTTACGTTGAGTGCAACACCTTAAAGCTTTCTTTTGCTTTAATTTTCTCTTTTGCTGGTTGTACTCCATTTCTTCTTCATCTTTATTTGTTTGGTTGCCACGCTTCAACGAGCATGTGCATGTAATTTCTTGCTAGTGGCTGGCCACACTTCATGCTTTTGTTTTTTTAATATCAATGCCATTATCACTTCTTGCTTGATTTCATCTCCTTATCTTTCTTTATTTGTTGCCAATCTCACCAAGGACCTACTAAGAGAAAGTAGTATTTAATTTCCAATACTTCTATTAGCATAATGCCTTAGTCTTCCTCTGGAAGAACACAAATTGTAGGGAACGATGATACAAGTTGAAGCAGCTCAATTAGAATGGCCTCCCAAATTGAGTCAGAAACAAGTTCAAGCAGCCCAGTTATTATGGCATCTTAGCAGTGTGTGTCAAAAAACACCCTCCCTTTCCTAACTTTAGCGAACTATATAGATCATCAGCCACCAATTCTGTTCTAGACTTCAAGTATTGGTTTAAGCTCTTCTCCTCACAGATGTTATGCTCCAACTCCACAAGTTTCTTGCACATTGTTATTTTCACATGAATTTGGCCTCTTATTTTAGTTTTATTATTGGTGTAAGGTCACCCCAAGTTTGTAATTTCAACTTTCTTGCGTACAAAAATAAAATAAAATATATTTACCACTCGGTGGCATCATTAAAACCTTGCCTTTAAAAACCCCCAAATGGAGGAAAATCCGGTCAAGGAAAAAGAGTACCACTACATCACATCAAGTATAAAATTAATTTAAGAAAATAACTTGTCATTAGCCAAAACATCATAAATCCATAAAGAACCAGCCTCTAACCACACTTGAAAGTCCTGAGACAGGAGCGCTTGCTTAGCCAATAGATGAGCAACCTAGATAAACTCCCGAAGAGAAAATTGACAAAGGCCCCTAGCTTCATCTACTAAAACACCCTCCACCGACTAGCTTTGCTCATAAGTTTGAAGATTCATAATAATCTCTTTTGCCTCCATTTCCCAAATGACATAACGATGCCCCATTTGACTTGCAATCTGTTTTTATTTTTTATTTATGGTTTTGGTTGTTATTGTCAATTTTCCTATTTTTCTTTGTTTTTTGTTGTTGTCAATTTTCCTACTTTTCTGGGTTTCTGGGTTTGTGGTTGCTGGCTGGGGTTTTTGGGTTTGTGGGGGAGGGGTGGTAGGGTAAGGGGTGGTCATGGGAGAATTTGGGGGAGAAAGAGACTTCATCTCAAGTCATGCCTCCAATAAAAAGAATAATTCCTTATTTAATTCCCAAGAAATCCTCCATTGTTTTCCTCTTCTTCCCATCTCATCAGGAAAGGTGAATTTGCATCTTGGATATTTCAAAACTGACGAGGAAAATAGGAAACTTTGTCCTACATGGGATGAAAAGTTTCACCTAATCAATCCTAATCAATTAGCTGCACAAGAAGGAATTCCAAATCTTAAATACCTCATGCCCAGCACCAACCCAACCATATACCCAAACGGAAAATCTTCAGCATTTAAAGCATTTGATTCATCCAAATCTTCAGACGATGAGACATACAGAGGAAGAGCCTTCAATAATAGAGGGGGCAACCCATCTCATTGCACTAGGATTTTTTTTTGTTGTTGTCAATTTTCCTCTTTTTCTTCAATTTTTTTTCTAAAAAAATAATTTAACTGAAAATTGGATGAAATGTTGAGGATTTAGACGTTATGAGGGAAATTGGAGGAAAAGAAAAAGTTCATATCCTTAATTTTCTATAAATAAAATAAAATATGGGGTTAATTGAAAGTTATGTACAAGTTCAAGGGGCAAATCACTAGTATACCCTTTTTTTAACGAGTATAGCCGAGCGGCTATACTCTACAAATAGAGTATTTTAACCGTACAGCCGGGCGGCTATACTCTGTAAATACCATAATCTAAATTTCTCTTTTTTAATTACTTGAATTATTGTTTACTTAGTGAATAATTAGTCTTTAAGAATTTTATTAATTTCAAAAAATTTTAAAACTAAATACTATTTATTAAGTAATATCATTTATGATGTTAATTAAAATATTTAATACTAATTATTCAGTAGAGAAATAATAGTTAGAAAATAATTACTAATGAAAGTAATTAAATTAGGCTAAGATATTATTTAATTACTGAAACGAAATTATTATAAAAATAAAATAAAAAATTATTGACCTAAAGATACTTTCAAAAGCAATTTTTTTTATTAAAAAAAAACACCGAGTCTAGCCACGTGGCTATACTCATTTAATATAAATCTACACAAACCAGGCCCAATTGTTTGAGTTCAATTCTAAAATATACGCAGTAGCTGCATTTGATATGTTGTGAAATTAAAGTTAAAATGCAATCGTAGAGAAACAGTTGCACTCTTATGGCCCTTTGCGTCAATCAGGAGGATAGGCTTCGACAATTCATTAGTTTCTTCAAATATTTTGAATCAGTATATACAGATGAGCCTGATTTCTTCAACCTCCCTCAGTACAAAATTGGCCTCCTTATGTGTTCTGGATCAACGATAAAGTTGAATGATTGTTGCGATGGCGGATGAGTTTTCTTGAGATATAATGAACGAAACCAACAGAATCAATGGCCCAAAGTTTACATGATCCAAAGTAATAGAACAGAAAGCCCAATCCACAAACCAAAATGAAACCCCAAAAGCTCAATATCGCTAGAGGACCAAAGTTGAAAAGTTTGTGCTGTTTCTTTCCAAGGAAGACATTGGTAAGAGCGGTATTTGACTCCGATGATGCCTTCACCAACTTCAAACCCTACAAAGAGAGAAATATACACGCAAGACATTTAGCTCTCTAAATAGATCAACAAGCCACTGATATGAGTTAGAGAAATATATAGGACATGAAACCTCCTTAACTTGAAGTGCATCAATCCCCTTCACATAGCCTGCCTTAATATTGCTGGAGGTTGCTCCAGTAGGAGCAGATGGAGAAACATAAGACACCGGGGTGGAAATGTTACATGATCTGCACTGTGGACAAGGGATTCCATAGCTCTCAGGAATACGGTTACTGCACCTCACACAAATGTAGAACAATTTAGAAAGATTCTAGTCATTGTTGGTCGGCAATGGCAATTGAAGAATATTGGCCGCAGAAATTGTTGTTTTGGGTTTGAGCAGGGTGTCCTTAAGATTGAGTGGCAAGTAGGAGTTGACACCAAGGCTTTCGGCACTCTAGTAACAGTTGCAACATGCAAAGACAGAAAACTGAAAAGGAAATCAACAACTTCCTTGCTTGCTTCAGCAAACAGAACTTTGTGGCTTTTTGGGTCAATCAGAAGCTTCAAACTCACACTAGCGCTGTTGGTGGTAGCCATTGAGGGGATATTAAGGACAGACCTTCACCAAAAATGTATCCTAATGAATTCAAAATTATTCAAAAATGGCAATGGTGAACGGATCAAGAAGGTGGAGGGTCACCTTGGACTCTGCATCATCAGTCGACCACAAAGCAACTCTACATATACAAATCTATCAATACCTATACACATAGGGAATATAATCTACAGATGAGTGCATATGTATTTATTTCCACTAAAAAACTGCAATCTGAAATAGGTTCGAAAAATCGGCCTAGGCGGCGCCTAGGCGCTAGGCAGGAGGACACCGCCGCAATTTCATCCTAATCCTTAGGGGTAAGCGCCAGGGAGTTCGCCGGTGCCTGGGCGCCCGCCTAGGCGGCTCTAGGCGGCCCTAGGAGGCTCTAGGCGGCTCTAGGCGGCTCTAGGCGGCCCTAGGCGGCTCTAGGCGGCCTAGGAGGCTCTAGGCGGGTCTGGGCGGGCGTTTTGGCGTTGAGGCGTGGACGCGCGCAGGATCCACTGCTTGTTAGGAAGAGAGAGAGAGAGATTGAGACAGAAGGAGAAGGCGACGCTGGGAAGAAGAAGATATCTGACCTAATTTTTAATATAACTAACGGGTTGGGTTTTGTAAAATGGCCTTAAACATTGTATTAAAATGGGCCAATTTTTTTTGTGTCAATCAGAAGCTTCAAACTCACGCTAGCGCTGTTGGTGGTAGCCATTGAGGGGATATTAAGGACAGAGAAGAAGGAGCATGTGCTTAAGCCTTCAAAGACCTACTTTATAAGCTTCATAAAAGAAGTATCCTAAATTCAAAATTATTCAAAAATGGCAAATGGTGAATGGATCAAGAAGGTGGAGGGTCACCCTTGGAGACTCTGCATCATCAGTCGACCATAAAGCAACACTACATATACAAATCTGTCATTACCTAGGTAATATAATCTACGGATGAGTGAATAAATATGTATTTATTTCCTCTAGTTGGCATTCATTAACTAAACCAACAGCCAGATTTACAATTCGTTTTTATTTGTATTTGTTTTTTCATATTAGTTGTATTGTATCTTCAGACTTCACTAGTTGAGAGGCCAAACACAATGAAAAACTCAACTAGCAGGTCTATGCTCCCTTCAGCAAACAGAATTTTGTGGCTTTTTTACATGGACTAGGAGTTTCACCTTATTTTTGGTGATTGCCATTGATGACGTCAAGAAGATTGATCCATAATTACATGGATGAGTTTATTCTTTGGAATGGATGAAGAACTTCATAGATCAAGTAAGAGGAGAAAAATTTGATAGGTAAAGAGAGAGAAGATAAGAGATCACTAGAACATATAATTTTGTCACACGTTCGCACGTGTATGGATTAATCTAGTGTGAAAAATAGGAGCTGTAATGCAAGGTATCAAAAAGCTTTTATAAGCTTGCAAACTGCCACTTCAGAAACAAAACTACATTTGATGTGTTTAGAAATTGAAGTAAGAATTTGCGTGACACGACAAGGGTTTGAGTTGCAAGGTGTCCGTGTTAGTTACCTATGCAAATGTTAACCGCCAACATGCAAAGACAGAAGAGTGAAAAGAAAATCAACAACCTATTTGCTTGCTTGTAACTTTTTGTGCAAAGAGGACAGGGAAGGACGACATGTGTATAATATGTCTTAAAAGCCTTAGAAAGACCTGTGTATAAGCTAAGACAAGCCTTAGAAACCATCAACAGCAATTCAAACTGAATCAATGGTACTAAAGCCTAAGATCCCAGGCTACTGCCGCCAGGGAACCCGAGTGACATAGCGAAGTGTTGGTCATCACTTCAGAACGTTGCAAGGCCTTCCAAAAATATCTACTGGTAAATTTGTAGTAGGCCCTGCTTGTTGCAAGGCCTTCCAAAAATAGAATATTTTAACAGTATTGCTATGTGGCTATTCTCCAAAATATAATATCGTACACATATATCCAGGCGGCTATACTAAAAATATAATATCTTAAAATGTAGCCGCACGACTATTCTCCCAAAAAGAATACCTTAGCGGCTATACAGCCACGCGGCGCTACCCCAAAAATATAATATCGTACAAGTATAGACGCGTGCCTATACTCCAAAAATAGAATAGCTTAAAAGTATAGCCGCATGTCTCTACCCCAAAAATTATAATATCGCACAAGTATAGACGTGCGGCTATACCCCAAAAAATTGAATACCTTAACAGTATAGCCGCACGGCTATACCATGGGGCGTCCTTGCATTGCATTCATGTCATAGTAGGCCTCACGGGAACATTTGGAATTGAACACAACATTGGCCCAAACCTAATCGGACTATAAAGATTCATTTCATTTCATTATGAGCGATGTTATATGCACCCATCAATCTACTTAGTGCACCCAAAATCTGAAAAAGAATATATCCAATTGGGTGGAGTCTGTTCAATACCGTAATCACTCAATTGATTTTAGGATTGAATACATAAAAATCATCTTATCGCATGCAACAATTTGAGACACATTATGGGGTCAACTCAACACCTAATTGCTACTACTGGTGTAAAAATACATAATAAACTGAAGATTTACAACATCGTAATCAATATAATGTTTGCAATAATCACTCAATAGATACACAATCCAATTCAGTACAATACTGAACTTCGATAACTCAGCAACAAATGAATCAAACTGGTGACACAAAATCTTTAAACTCTGCACATACAATACAATTCAGTGGTATGAACAAACCAAAACCCTTCAAGCCATGGATCCCATACTGTACATGATCATTGTATCCTCGTATAAGATTCTTGGAAAACCAAAAACCTCAAAACCAATCAATTAATCTCACCCAAATGTAGAGAAAATAGTGTTTTTTTCAATGGTATCTATGTTGTTGTAATGTACGTATATACAAACACAAAAATCATGTATAGGAAACAGAGGATGACTGCAATGCAAATTTGATCAGTAATTGAAACTGTGTTAGACTTTTTTCTCGAATTCGAAAGCAGTGGGACTTTGAGTTGTATGGAAAAAGAGGCTTGGCTTGTAATGATGTCTGGGACAAAGATCATTTCTCCTGAAACACATTTAAACCCCTGCAGGCTCCAAATGAAAACAAACCCAAGTAATTAATTCAGCAGATGAAGAAGCTAAACCAATTAACCAGATGAAAGCTAGAGCTTAGCAGAATTACCTCAAGCTGATTTCCAACAGTGACAACTAGAGTCTCCGGCCCTGCATCAAAACACAGAGAGCCTCCCTCTCCCTCTGATCGGATGTTGAACTGAGAATGCTCAAGCGGAAGGTGAAGGCACAAAGCATGATCCTCACACTCACGCAAATTATTTCCATTAATGATCTCATTCTGCAAATAATTACTACTTGGGTTTTGCTCCATTGAATGATCTTGATGATTGTATCTGTATAGCCTAACTTTTCCCATTTCACTTCTCATCTTCTTCTCAACTTGCTTCTCTGCATTTGCGAACAAAACTTCACTCACTTGATCTGCAATTGCTTCAACTTTGCCTGCAACCTTCTCCATACTTTTACTGCAAATTAATTGGGAGAATTAGTACTTCATTAAAAATTTAAACTTGGGTTAACTAACTGCAATAACCCGATAAATAAGATACAGAGTTTCGGGTGCTTAATTACCAAAAGCCCCGATATTTTTCGTCCTCCACCACTTTTTGGCCCGATTCAAGAACCCATTTAATCTCCTCGCGATTGCCAGTGCGCTCAACGAAACGTCGACTGAGATTTCCGTCATTTCCGAAAACCGATTCGGCTTCCCGAACCACCGATCCCAACTCCTCGGCCGAAATCCCGTGATTGGTGATCCGAAACGCGCCGGATTCTCTGGCCGAGACGAGAAGCCGCGCGATGGCGTCGCTGGAGAACGATCGGAGATCGACTTCCGCGGGAACGGGATGGCGTGTGCCGGAGAAGTGAGGGTGAAGTTGAGGTGGCCATGCGAGGTCGGGGATTTGCAGGCACTTGTCGAGGAATTGCGTGAAGTTCTCGTTGGATGCAGAGCGGGAGCCTTTGGCAGTCGGGATCGGTGACGGCGGTGGCGCCCCCGACGTTAACCGGCTCCTCCCGCGCATGATAGCCATGGTGGAGCAGGATAAGAGCTGACTGAATCAGAGTGGCGTGGTGGTGATCACTAATTCACTGGTGAGGTTGATCAGTTATCGTATGAAATATGAAAGGGTGGCAATTTGCTTCTTCTTTTTCCTTTTTCCTTAAAAAAACCTTTTTTAATTTTAATTGATTGCACGTTCGAGTTGTTTGAGTTGCGAGCTGTGGCATGGGACCCATGGGCCATATCAGCTTTAGTAGTTGATGATGGGCCATATTTTATGGCCCAAGCTAACTACAACACGTGTGATTCGTCCATATGCGTGAAAGTAGTTATGAACTATTGATACATTGTGTGATCCACTTGAATTATCAACCACGGATGCGCTGTGAAATCTACTTATATCAACGTGTCAAAGTCACTCGCGTTATACTTACATAACCCATCCATGCTAAAAAGGCCCCCAGCCATTATGCCCCACGTGTCAACACATGCATTTTCAAAAAAATTTCAAAACTGAGTATAGCCGTGCGGCTATACAATTTTTAAATATATAAAAGACTCCCACCATTAGGCGCCACGTGTCAACACATGCCTTTTTAAAAAAAAATTCAAAACTGAGTATCGCCGTGTGGCTATCCTATTTTTAAATATAAAAAGAACCCCAGACATTATGCCCCACGTGTCAGCACATGTCTTTTTAAAAAAATTAAAAACATGGAGTATAGCCGTCAGGCTGTACTATTTTTTAATTAAACAAGTGTAGTATAGCCGGACGGCTATACTATTTAATTAAAAAATTAATAATAAAAAAGGACCCTAATAGTTGCATTGGTTTGTACTTTATGGATATTAATTTGCAAACATATCCAAAGTAGATATTAATTTTCCTCTATTTGATGTTTTAATATAATTTTTATACCATATGTTATTCTTATTCAATAATATGTGAGAATTATTTGTATAATACGTGAATTTGTGTGTGTTACTGAAAATTTTGTAAAAAATACGTGCAAATTTTAATCTAAATAATTAACTAATTGGTTTTAATTTGAATTTGCGCATGTTACTGAAAATTTGGTAAAAAATACGTGTATAAAAAATTAGACATACGTACATACACGTACAATACGACTATTGTATGTTTGCTTTTTAAAGAAAACATGAGATGTGTATAGAACACGAATATATTGTTGAAAAATACATACCTACATATGTGTATATATGTATGTATATATACATTTATATATTTATATATGGATACGTATGTAAAATGACAAGACTCGACCCAAATTCCACTTTGGAATTCGAGCCAAACCCTGTTCATGATCGACACCTGGCAGGTGCCGAGCACAATTGACTTGGTTGCCCTTTTCTGATTAAAAACTTAATTTCCCTTAAATCCTGACTTCTACCGAAAATTCGGCAGAGTCTCCCCTCTAAATCAAACGTTCCCAAAATTTACACCTGTCAACAAGCACTTAAATATAGGGAGTTTCACTAAAACACCCAAAATGGGGTCTGAAATTATAAAAAAAAACCCAAGCACTATTTAAACATATAAACACACCCAAAACCCATCATTACACACACTCAAAACCCATTTATAAACACACCAAAAAAGTTGACTTTGGGATTGATTTTGGGTGTGTTTCTATGTTAAAATAGTGCTTGGGTTTTTTTATAAATACATGTCTAGGATTGGGTTTATTTATAAATTTGTATTAAATATATACACCAACTGCCAGTATACAAAAATAAGTATGTTCCAATAGTAAATACGTTCCAGGGCAATATCAGAGCAACTATACAGGTTTATTTACAAAGGAGGTAACCACTTGTGAACCAAGGAACCCTACATCAAAAAATACGTGTATAAAAATTAGACATACGTACATACACGTACAATACGGCTATTGTATGTTTGCTTTTTAAAGAAAACGTGAGATGTGTATAGAACACGAATATATTGTTGAAAATTACATACCTACATATGTGTATATATGTATGTATATATATGTATATATATGAATGCATATGTAAAAGACAATAGCCGCTCGTCTATACTATTTATTAAATTCAATTTATAAAAAATAAAAATAAAAACCCGTAAAGCCTCTCGCCTATACTATATATATATATATATATATATATTTTTTTTTGTAATTTTAAAAAAGACTGAGTATAGGTTGGTGGCTATACTATTTTTTAATTAAAAAAAAAGGGTCTCCCAACCGTTTGGAGCCACGTGTCAACACATTTCTTTTTAAAAAAGATTCAAAACTGAGTATAGCCACCCGGCTATACCAATTTTTAATATAAAAAAGGACCCCAACAATTTGACGCCACGTGTCAACACATGTCTTTCTTTAAAAAATTTCAAAACTGAGTATAGCCGGGCGGCTATACTCTTTTAATATGAAAAAAGACCCTAGCCATTATGCCCCATGTGTCAACACATGTTTTTTTTAAAAAAAATTCAAAACTGGGTATAGCCATTATGCCTCACGGCTATACTATTTTATTAAAAAATTAATAATAAAAAAAGACCCTCCTAGTTGCATTGGTTTGTACCTTATGGATATTAATTTGCAACATATCCAAAGTAGATATTAATCTTCCTCTATTTGATGTTTTAATATAATTTTTATACCATATATTATTGAGAATTATTTGTATAATATGTGAATTTGCGTGTGTTTCTGAAAATTTTGTAAAAAGTACGTGGAAATTTTAATTAACCATTGACCCAACTAACTAGGCATTTAACCTTAAATCATACCCACAAGCTACTCAATTGGGCCACTTGCATAGCCAATACAAACTATTCTATTTCCAAGAGTAAGTCTTATAAAGACTTCCAAGGAACTCTATTGTTCCAATGTGGGAACTCAAACCTGTTTGCAATGCCTTGCAAAACCGACAAAACTAAATTATGCTTCACTTTTCAAACAACACTTTCCTCAATTTATTCTAGAAGATGAGATTTCACGTCTACATGGTGCTGACTGCAACATAAGGTGAGATGTTCAATATGAGTTGCAAGGCAGGATATCATATGATTATGACTTTTCTTTTTGTTTATGTCTTTTATTTTTTTGAACTTAGTAAATAGGAGCACGATATTTACACAAAATAGAAGTTTACTCTGCGGAATTAATGTTGCAGGCTCATAACAATCATAGTCTGCATATCTCACTATGAACCTTAAACTTTTCTTAAGGCTCAACATTTATACAAGCATTACTTTACTTACACACACAACTACAAAGCAAGTGTCAAGAAACTTGCTACTTGCCAACCAAGGAACCACCGCAGCTAGCTTCCCGGTGTTTGAAATCCAATGTTCTCCACAGCCCCAACAGTCTTAAACAGCCGCCTCTTGTTGATCTCCTCCACCAGTGACCGGTGCAACAATTGGCTTCGCACATCAATAAGCGATTGAATCCTGGGTAGTTTCCTTTGATGATGACAAAGAGGATGATTTAATTCATGAGGTCTCTGATGATGCAGCTGTGAATTGCAGTGTTTGTAGCAATTTGCAGCCCTGCTTTCTGAAGGACAAAATCTAGATTTGTGGTTCTTTCCAAAGCAAGAGATTAAGTCATGGTGGTCGTCTTCAGTGCCTGAGAAGTAGTTTATGTTGGAGTAGTTGCAGGAGCTGAAGGAGCTCTGAGAACTTGCATCATCATTGATAAACAGATCACCTGCATTGACAAAATATCAGACCAAATGCAGTCAAAGACAAGCAAAGACTAGTTGGAGGAAGTCCTTTTAATGAACATACCTTGAAGCCAATCTTGGTCATTAGAAATGTTCTCCCCACAATGGAATTGGGTCTTACAGTGAGAGCTGAAAGCATGGAGAGAGTTTTGGGAGGAAGAACAGGAGGAGAAAGAGTAGAAAGGATGGCGACCATGATCATGATCATCATCTTCATCTTCATAGTTAAAGCTGTGCTGATGAGGATGATAATCCTGGGGTGTGCCCCATTTCTTATGACCTGGAATTAAAGAAGATATCTCTTTTTCTATCATCTCCGCGATCTCCGAAGGTTCCCAGTCACTGATTTCTAACTCTTTCACCATCTCCGTTGCTACAGCAATTGCAGTGTCGTTCACAATGTCAAAGGGAAAGTATATGTTCCTAGCATTTTGCCCTGTTAAGAAACCACCATCATCAGCAATGTGCAAATAACAATTTAGACCATAAAGTATGGATTATGAATTTTTAAGGATCTCCTCAATCTGCATGATCAATTAGTCATATGTGCAAAAGGGTTGAGAGAGGGAGTACCATCCCGGTCCGAAATCTGAACTTTGAGAAAAATTGTATCATCCTCTGGATTCATTTTCCCAGTAATGATCATGTTTGTGCTTCTTTTCAAATCAACCCCCAAGTCCAAAGGTAGCTCCTCTTCCTCTTCCTCCTCCTCCTCCTCCTCTTCCTCCTCCTCCTCCTCCTCCTCTACCACTGCTGAATCATCATTAGGCATCAAGTTTTGAAATGGGATTCTTGGGGTGGACAGCAGCTCTCTATCATCAGAGGCTAGAAAAGGGTCAAGCAAGAGCTCATGTGCTGGCAACCTCTTTGAGGCATTTTCCAAACACTTCCCTACAAATCGTTGCGCCTCCAAATCTTCAATCTTGTAGAACGCGTTTGGTAGCTTCCCCTGAAAACAAAAGAAGTCACATTAATTAGACATGGTAAATTACCAAAAATGAAGTGTCACATACTTAAGTGACCACCAAACTTACTGAAGTCACTTTCTTGTAAATTTGGGCAGGATTTGAGCACTCGCTATATGGATATTCTGAAGTGAGCATTTCCAGCACACACATGCCAAAGGCGTATATGTCTACTAGCTCATTATATTCCTCCTCGTATAATTCGGGTGCCATAAATTCCGGTGTACCTGATGAAAAAGAGAAGCATATTAAAATTGAAAATTAGGAAGATCAGATTCACTTAACTTTCAGAGACAGAAAGAGAGAGAGTTAGAGATCATTGCCTATGACACTGTGAGCATGATGGGAACCACGAAGAACAGCTGCCAAACCCAAATCACCAATCTTGACTTGCCCAAGATGGCCATTAACAAAGATGTTGTCACACTTAAGGTCTCTGTGAATCACAGGTGGATCAAGTTTGTGCAGATAGGCAAGTCCACACAAGATCTGCCGAGCCCAATTTTTCACTGCTCCAATATTCACTCGCTGGTACTTCTGTCTGTACCTGTTTCAAGTTCCACAGCATGCGTCATTAATCAAACAGTTTCAGTTAGTTTGGTTTCTTTTTTCGAGTACGAGGATTTGAATTTAGGACATTTGAGTTTACAACTCATAACATGTTCTAGCATTCAACGACCTTTAACATGTACATTCTTTTTAAGTGTTCCATGCTAATATATATTATAGTTGTAAGTGGTGGTTCATTACTCTCTGAGGGTGCCGGAGGTGAACATTTCGGTGATGAAGTTGAAGGTTCTCCGATTGACGTCGATCCAAGACATGTGGTATTGGATGATGGAGTCATGGTTGAGGTTCTTGAGGAGGTTCACCTCCGAGTAGAGACGCTGAAGTTCGTCCGGCGAACCAAAGACATCTTTGAGCTTGACTTGGTTCCAAGCCACCTCCATTCCCAGGACCTCATCAAATGCCTTGTAAACTGTCTTCATGGCTCCTTTGCCAAGCATTTCCCTGAACTGCTTATGACACAGTAATTAAGACCAAAAGGCCCTCTTAATTAGTCCTCATGATCTCACTAATTATCATTAAAACCAATTATAATTCGATGCTTGGTATGCATGCATGGCTGTTAAGAAAAGTCTGGGAGGAGCTATGGCTAGCTAGCTCGGCTCCATTGAGCCGCTCTGTATGAGTGGAAAGTGTCTGATCTTCATGCCGCACAAATTGGCATGCCGGACAGGTTTATTGTTCACATAAATAAGGCTGCATCATCCAATTGGGCTAATTAAATATTAAAAGTGAATCTCGGATGACACATTTTTTTTAATTTTAAATCAAATTAATACCGTTTCACAAATGAAGGTTGACCAGCACAACAGGGAAAATGACTTATTTAACCCTCCAAATAGCTCAAGATTATATTTTTCTATTCAATATTATCCAAATTTACATTTTTGTCATATTAGTTGACGAAAAATGTGAATTTTGTCCTAACAAATTTGCCAAGTATAGAAAAATCCGAAAAATTATTTTCATAGTTGATGGTATCAAGTTTGAATTAAAACTAGAAAGATCGAGTTAAGGATGCTTCTTGAAAGATATTATCCAAAATTGGGTAATTTTCCCTACATGTAATGATGCAATTTACATGCAACAAAAGTGACTTTATTTGCAGATTTTATATAATAATAATACGAAGAGATCAAACTTACACGTCCATAGCGACCAGATGGATCCGTTTCAACGTATGCAGGCAACTGTGGCTTGCCTCCATCGGCACACGTCCTTCCCAACCGGGTGGTGCTCATGGCTGAGAATCCAAGCAACCTCGGAAACTCTCCGACCAAACAACTCCCGGCTAGCTTTTGCACTTTGATTATATACTACGTACGTATAAAACCTAATAATTATAAACTAATAATTCAACAATACTTATATGGGATGTGTATGAAAGATTCTGTGGCGCGTGCTAGAAGATCCGAGGCTTTCCCTCATGGTTTTCATAGGAGAAGACCCGGAACAGCAACCAGAAAAGCCTCGAGTAATCAACACTAAGCATAATCCAAGCCATTTCCACAACCCCACGTGAACACTCGTAGTTCTTAGCAACCATTTGTGTGAAAGATGAAGTTGAACCAAGAAAATTAAATACAGAGAGAGAAAGAGAGAGAAGAGATATATCCAATTCTAATCAAGATTTTGTTTCAGAAAGGGACAGACTAAATGGAGGAACTGTTAAGAGGCGGATGTGGTGGTAGGGAAGAGGGAATAATATTTTGTCAACTAATGGACTAGAATTTGAAAGAAAATAAGCTTGTGGAGGAGGATTAATTTCCACAAAGTCTAGAATATCAAATGATCATATGTAGGACTTTGGCATGAAACTGCGTTATTAATCCTAAACTTGAAGAATCTGTGGCTACACTTTGATGGTACCATTTGTGGATGCAAAAGCCACCCTAAAAAATATGAATCAGAATTAGGGAAAAAAGTTGGAATTGATGAGTTTGAGAGAGACTTTCGAGCTTGGAAGGATATGGGCACCCTGCAAATTCTGCAATAAAAAACAATATGCTTAGAGAACAAAGGTGGTGGTGGTGAGGATATTGGGATGGTTCATTATAAAAGAAAAGGTAGGTTTTTTTTTTTTTTTTTTTTTTTTTTTTTTTTTTTTTTCTTTTTTTGTTTTTGTTTTTGGGGGTCCCCATATAACGGAGGTGACGATATTGGAAGAAGTCCAAACTCCAAAACACAGTAACATTATTGCTGACAGTGTTGGTTAAATTGTTTATGATCAATAAAAAGTCAGTGATTGTATTGGGAAGGGGAAGTCTAGGTTCTTCTGTGATGGAAAACTGCACACAGAAGATTCAGAACTCAGATGCCAGGACTTCAATTTGAGGCTTTATTTTCACTCAGTCACAATAAATACATCATCTGGTGTTTACCCTTTCCTCTTTTGTTTTTTCATTTTGGTTTTTTTATTATTTTATTTCCTCAGGTGGGGCTTGCTGATCCTAAACATGTGGTTATGCAATGCTTACCTACTAATTAAGAATTAAACCAGTTTTTTTTTCAATAGCTGAGATACTAATTAGTGATCTGGTTGACAAAGTAGCAATCTTCTGTTTTCAAGTTTTCCAATTTGATTGAACATTTACATCAGTTTGAAAGAGTCCCCTCACCTTTTTCTTTTTAAATTCTTATCCGTTCTCTGTATGCGTACAGGTGTGCCCTCAAACTTGAATTTGAGGAGTAAAATATTTGTTGACATCATAGGTTTTGTCCCATGTGTGAATTGTGACTAATTTCTAAGTATTGGATTGACCTTACTTGTTAGTTGTTAATAACCCATTTTGTATTTTATTGTGGATTAGTGCAATAATTCATTTTTTCGGGAAATAAAATACTATGGAGCATGTGTGCTGAGACAGTTGCCCAAATTTGCTGTAACACAATTAGGCATTAGATGAAGTTATAATAATACAGGTTGCATAAAACAATACAATTAAGATATCTTTTGGATGTAGACATGGGCTTAGCCAAGTTGACTAGAGCAAATGTGCTCCCCACTCTGCTCTCGAGTTCGAATCCCCCTTTCCGTAATTTAGATTAGATTAAAGTAAAATATCGTTTGTATTTTTTATTATTTTATAAATATATCTTCTGGATATGCTACATCAAATCAAATGGAAAGTGAGTCTTTAGAGATAGTTCCCTTCCTCCTCTCAAGCTAATCATCTACAGTTGAAAGAAAATAGGATGTATTATCTCATCTTATGTGTAATTGTATACCTACCTTGTAGAAAAGAAAAACAGCAGAGTAGAAAATAGAAATTTCAAATTATGTTAAAGTAGGCCATGTCCAAGGACAAAAAATGAATGAAAAAGAAGATAAATTGTAGAGGTATGGGTGGTCTTCACCAACACAATTTGCCCCTTACCAACACAATTTGCCCCTTACATTGCATTACCCAAACATTTACATGGCCCACACATTAAGCATAACAGCTGGAAGGTCTTAAATTTGTCAAAAGAATCAATCATGATTGTGTGTAAAACTAGCTGGAAGGTCCTACCATGACTCTGCATATCTGCTAAGAGCAGATTAAAAGGAAATAATGAGCCATCTAAAAGGCATAACCCAAAAATGAAGAAGATTGTGAATATAAAGTTACATCAAACATCAGCAACAATACTTCCAACAGTGTTCGTACAATTACCCAGAGGGGCAACGGTGGGAACAAAACCTGGGGAAAAGGATTGTAGTCAAACAACCTATACATGAAACTACTCAGTGTGCAAAGCACAGCTATCAAGGTTTTAAAGGGTGTAAAAATTATTAGTTGAAATGTACAAATGGCTTCCAACAAACTTCATATCTAACTCCATATGTAACGTCTATCGAAAAACAAAAGAAGAAAAAAAACAACTCCATATGTAAACGCTTCCAAAAAAGTTGTGGCCGAGCCATATAAGCGCCGAAAGTTCAGGCTCAAGCCAGTATGTTAGCAATTCCTGTAAATCTTTCATCCGACCAACCATATAAATAGATCATCACTTGTGCTGCAGTCAGACTGATAATGGCGGGAAATCATCTTCATCTTTCAAACGGTATGATTGTGCGGCAATCCTACATGTCCAAACAAGCAACGCTTAAACAGAGTCCTATCTGTGCACATTAGTGGTAGATAAATATTCATAGAAACCACAATGAAAACCATACCTATTTTCATCTGTACCCAATTCAGCTTTTGTCCACTGCATCCCTGGTGATCCATGGCTACCACTTGAGTTTTGACCAACTGATGAGCCAGCGTTGGTATGCCTGCCACTCCCAGGTGCCTCTGATGGGGCATTCCCAGTTGGCCCAAATTCTACAACTTGCTCGGAGGGATGCATTGAACCATTGGTATGAGGGTGTACTTTCCTCCTAGGGGAACCAGAGGGGCTATCTGAAGACACAGATTTTCCCCCACCTTTATGAAGAGACATTTGTACTTGTGATAGATCGCGACTGCTTCTCTCAGACATATGATTCTCTGGATTTGGTGTCATAGCATGGCCATTGTTACGAGGAGACCTGACCGGTGCTTGAGTTCTTCCCCTTGTTATCATGGGCTTATCTCTGAAATGGTTCTGCAAAATTTAAAACATAAAAGCACTTCAGATAACAAGGCCCAGCGACTGAAACATTTACCTGGAAAGAGAAACTACAAACTACCACAAGATTGACAGAAATCTGCCCCTAAAAATAAATTATGATTTTAAGAACCAGAAGTTTCAGAGGCTTAGAATGAGTATACCGTATTAGGAAAGTATGTTCCTGTTCCTCGTGGCTTTGGCATTTCCTCTACACCAAAGCCTGCACCATTAGGTAACATTGGTGGGTTCATAGGATAGAATGCTGGTCTAGGGACAATACCATTGGCATTCATCTGGGAAAATGCATTTGGCCTGCGCTGCACTGACTGTCGAATTACATCCCATGGTTTCTTGCTCTGAAACTGTGAATGCACTGGAGGTGCCGCCATGGGAGGAATTGCAGCATTTAGCTCACATTCGTAGCACCAACGACCAATGTTTAGACTATATAAGTGACTATCATGATCCCCACTGAGATCTGTCAAAGAGTTGGAAGGTTTCGGACTTCCAGCAGTACTACTTGACATTGGATAACCAGAATAACTAGGATGGAAGTCTTCAGAGGAACCCACAAGAGAACTCAACCGTGACAGATGGTGCTTAGATCCAACAGGAGACAAAACCTCCTGATTACAACCCAACTGATTCTCATCCTGGTTACCAACCCAATTATCAGCCGAACCAAAGCTTTCTGGCAGTTGCTGATCTTGATTTCCATTGCTAATGTCCCCATTTCCAGTTGATGAGTGAGAGAAATAGAGATGAGGTGCATGATGGGCTTTACCTAAAGGAGATATACTCACTTCGCCATTGGAAGGGGAAGGATTTTGAGCATCACTTGAAATTGTAAGACCTTGAAATCTGGAGGTAGCAAGGTCTTTTGCATCCCCCATAAGACGGTATTCCGAAACCGCAATTCCATTTGGGGAACTGTCATCTTCCGAGAACATTGTTGGGGATGCCACCTTCATACCACTTTCATGTGGTCCATTCACACATTGACCAGGTATCTGAACATTTGTAACTTCACCATTCCATAATCCCTCGCTATTTAACCCACATTCCCCAATCATGCCACTTGAATAGGCAGATTCTGATTCATAAATTATCTGATCTTGTGACTCTGTACCTGCAAATAACGACACAGAACCATACCCATCATATCTGGACAATGGGAGAAGATCTTGGACATCAGGCCTTTGTCCACCTCCATGTCTATCCAATGTGTTTGCAAAAAACTTTCGGATCTCATCATCTATGTTATCTTCTGTCTGAGAAAGGATGCGCCCTAATTTACGAGCACCATATGTGAAAGCACTTCTTATTCGGTAAAAGTTTCCTGTAATTAGGAATACAGGGTTTCATCAACTAATGAAAATACAGAAAGAAAGAAAAATGGAGAAGAGGTCTATAGGGAAACGTAGTTCACCTTTACTCACACTTCGGCCAAGATTGTTATTGTCTTTAAGTGGATCAACTATGTTAAAATGCTTTGGTGGAAATGTTCTATAGTTTGTCTCATATCCTCTTGACGGAACTGAGAACATTTGCACACACTCCTTGAGAAAATCATTACTAAGCAATAGATCATTCCCACCATTCTCTGGTGTCTCAACTGCAAAAAGGACCACAAATAATCTCAATTAAACACATATGCTCATACAGCATGTCGCCAATGCAAAAATATGTTGCTCACCCAAGAGTTCTGGAAGTGAAGATATGCGAACCGGACCACTCAAGCTGATGCAATAATTGTCCCAATCAAATTTACTAAAGTAGTCCAAGAATTTGTATAGGACCTACAGAACAGAACATTGAACAAGTTAAATTTATGTCATAGAGATATGGAGCATGCTAGTGCTAATTCATTAGAGCACTCACCGCTAGAGGACCATTCAAAGATGAATGGAAGAGATGGAAGATATACAGGACCAAAGTCTCCAAAGCATATGTCGAAATCAAACCATGATGGGCACCAAGAATCCGGCTCTCATAATAGCACCATGCCTTGATCAGTATGATACTGCGCTTAAAGAGATGGTTTTTGCCAATGAGGCGATCGACCTATACAGCATCATGGATATGATTAGGGAAGAAAAAAGCACAAGTAAATACCATAAGACCGAAAAATAATAATTATAAAATGGCTTGAAAAAGGATAAAAGAGGGTGGCCAACACTCAAAAGAGTACCGATTGAAGATCCTTCAAGGTTATCAGTTATAAGGCTTAAACAGCACGCACTTTCTACAGAAGACTAGAAAAAGACATTGCACTAGACAAAGCAGAGCTTCCAGTGAAAGCATCCCTTTATATAAATCTGGTAACCCATTCAATTCGTATTAAACAATTCAAACTTCATTTTCAGTTCAGCTTTGTATGAAAGATTACCTGCTCAAGAAAGCATAGTGTGCATAGCCCTCCTAACTGATTGAAGGAAATATCAACCACAATATTTTGCACAAGGCACTTTACAAGCTTAACCTGCCACAAGAAACCCCCATATTCTTTACCAAGGAAAATCAAAATTTGAGTTAGGAAAAGAAAGTTACACAACATACTAGCACTCGAAACATAAACTTACTGGACATACATGACGGCATTAATCCTAAGTTGTAACTTATACCTATCATCAATTTCTTTCAATACGAATACGACATCTGTTTGACTCAACCAATGATCTTTAATAAGTACAGGGGTAAAAGCTAAAAACCTCTGCCCGAATTAATTGGACATCTTTCACCATAAACTCAGCAGTTCCATTTTGAACTTCCCTTTCAAGGACAGAGCAGACGTCATTGGCCAGCGCCTCCTCAACATTCATACCACCAAAAGCAGTCAAATCAATATCCCCATCAGGCAGATAGGTCTTTAGAGGTACAGACCCAAATGGGAACACCTGCCACAATTTGAGTACAGAATCAAAATATGCCGCACATGGTTAAACCTCCTAACCCTACCCGTAATATCACACATTTGTTGTCGAAAAGCAAAATGTGAAGTTGGGAAGACAAATCAAATGATTTGACAAGAAATTACATATGAAAGCACCCAACTTGCTCAAAGTAAAATTATAAACAGAGTTGCATTAGCTTAGCTAACACATAAAATATTAGATATATGAATTCATGCAGGACAAGCAAAATTGGGATTGAAGTCAAATACCCAGCTAATCATAGAAAGCATGTTAGACCAATTGACCAATGAACTACATTAGTCATAAACTAAACTCAAGGTCCAACCTTTGTGTAGCTAAAGCTAGACTTGACGGCAAATAACCAAATTTTAGGGGCTTTAATCACCAAGTTTTCTGTAATTCTCAAACAAAAAAACATCCTTTGCAGTCCCAACGCATCGTAGAACACTAAATTCAACTTCAAAATTATGATTCATTCACATGCGTATATATATACGTAATGCGTATGTATATGTAAAAAGACGGACCTCGCAACCAAGACAAACTCTAATGAGCCTCTGAACGTACTCAATGACCGCCTTCCTTCTCCTCTCGGACACGTCAGTAGGCTGAACCTGAGCTATGACCCCCTGCGTCGCTTCCTCGGCTTTCTTCCAGTACTCGGCGCTAATACCCTCCTCGGCCGCCGCCGACGCCTGATTGGATGAAAACAGCGACGAAGGTGATGATGACAACGACGATGCCGAGGACGGCCCCTCCTCCACAACGGCGCCGTTTAGTTCAGACGACCAATCTTCCCGAAGATCGCCCATGAAATAACCGAATTACCGTGAATCACAAACAAACCGAATTAAACTTCCTCAAGCCGCTTGACCGTACAACCATGATGACGACGGTGAAGACGAAGACTCGAATTGGAAATCGACGGCGCTTATTCGATATGGAACTTTGATCTCTGGCGATCAGATTGTGCAGAATGATACGGACGGTTGAGCAAAACGGCAGGGTGATTGGAATGAAACGACTTAAATTTGCGATTGGGGAGATGGTGGGTTTTTTTTTCAGATGAAAAGATCCCAAGTGGTGAGTAAGTGGGTTATCGATTTTATGTTTTTTGAGGTTTTTTTTTCAAATTGGGGGGATTTTGTTTTCAGCCAAACTATAAAACATAAAAACGTATCTGTCGTTGTTTTGTTTTCTTTGTCCGTCTCTCTCTTTTTTTCCGTTCCCACCTCTTTCCGTTCTCTCGTGTCAATGTGTTTCCCTAATTCCAATTTTACCATTTCAGGCGCGAAACGTCAACGTTTTACCCTCCAAGTTTTAACAATGGGCCAGGGCTGTATTTGAGCACCACCTACTCTACCCCTTTCCCTTTACATTCCGATGGCTATGGTTATCTTTTCTTTTTTGACAAAGTGATATTTCAAACTGGTTTAGTGTACAAGAATGGGGATTGAATTCGATTGAAAGGGCGATCACACTACCTTGGTCAACCGTCCTTTTTAATTTTTAAGATATGATTTTATCTTCAATTTTGCATAATAAGAGGTTTTTATATTATTACTATGAATACTCAAATTCATGTCATCATCTTGCCTTTCTCGATCATTTTCTTTTCTTATTATAATTTCCTTATGCAGACGTTTCTGAAGTATTTTGGTCAAAGGGATAAAATGATAAGAAATGCTAAATACCAAATATGAAATCCCACGTTTATGTACATTTACATAAATAGTTTTGCTTAATAGGATACGTATACACAAAAAAGGAATTTTGCTTTTGTTTGTATTAGGTGAATGGATAATTATGAATTATAAGCTAACAAGAAACCCTCATTTTATATCTTGTTTTATTTATCGAAAAGATGAAATTTCATTGAACGGAAACATTGATTACAACATAATCGTTATCAATAATACAACAAGGTTATTCAATTGATCGTTTTGTTTTCACATTATATTTTTCTCTCTTAGGCGCATTATATAATTAAACCACATGATAGAATGTCATTAATTTATTTCCTAAGGTGATTAGTGTAAATTCCCAATTAGCTAGCAAGTGACCCTAAAGCATGATGAGAGTTAGGTGTTGAAGGAGGAGGCAAGAGGCTCAACTCAACTATAGTGTAGAATGTCCCACAAAAGAAGTTGACATAGGGATAGAAGAGGGATTCTTGAGAAGAATATACAATGGAGATCCAAACTATGCATTTACTAATCTTTTAAGCCATTTGGTCCAATTCCCAAATGGGAAAGTTATCCAAAGTAAAGTTAGAGGGAATATCAAAGTGTGGAGGTTACTTTCAAAGGCTCCACCCCCACCCACTTGATGACTTCTATGCCATAAATAAAACAAAATTTGATTATATTCTATGAACACCACCATAAAATGACCAAAATGAACAAAGCATTAACAATGAATACTTGTTAAAATAAAAACTCATAAATATGACAAATACGAAGAAATAAAAAAGGAATATATAGGGAAAACTAGATTGGACTATTTTAATTAAAATGAATAAGAGTTTTAATTGTTGTTTGGTATGATACGAGTAAATTTATCAAATTGTATAACAATCCAACATATCGTGTCTTACAAGTCCCACCTAGATGGGTAAATGAGACTCATAAGAACTGGCTTGAACTCAACTCAAAGCCGGGTCACCAAATGAGGTCATAGTTTATGTTTGGGCCATAAGTCGGCTCAAATATTTCATGCTTACTTTATACAACCCGGCCTTCATATAACTTTCCTTTCTATTTTGGGCCCTTAACCCAAATGCTCCAAAGTCCAGTCCGAATGATATATTGTTCACATTTCTGCGCGGAGACTACTTGCTCATCTGCAGCCTCGAGTCTTCAACTCAGACAAACTTTAAGAAGATCGAGTGAAAGCTCGGAGTGAGTGATAGAAAATACAGGATGGAGGGAACTGGAGGGAGATCAATTGTCTCACTGTTTCTGATCCTTCTTTTGTCTTTGTCCATGCCCTGTATATCTGATGCTTACAGGCCAGGTGACATCGTCCCCATGAGCAAGACGGGTCTTTACCACTCTGTCCGTACTTTCTCAGTCTCTCTCTGTGAAGTATTTTACTCAATTATGGCTCAAAATGTAATGGGTTTTGTTGAATTTGATGGTTTCAGATGAAAACCGAATGGCACGACATGATTGGTCGACATTGCCCAATCTTTGCTGTGAATCGCGAGGTAACCTCAACCTGCCTGCCATTCACTTTTTTTGTATTTCTCAATTAGGGTTTTCTTTGTCTTTTTTTGTTTTGCAATGGTTAGGGTTTTTATTTGTTTTTCTGGTGTATAAATTTGTAGGTGTTGATTCCTATAGTGAAGCCGATGGGTTACACGGGTGCTGATGCCTACAAACTGTGAGTATAAGTAAAGGCTGAAACTACCGGCCTTATGCTTCAAATTTATTTTCTTTTATTCTATTATCAGTATTGGATTGCTAATAATGAGAATCAGCTAAGCTATCTATTAGTAAAGGTCAAGTGTTTCGTAATTGAGATAGTTTATGTAATTTAAGAATTTCAAGTTTTGAGGTTCGCAGCTGAACTTGCTTTTGTATTTGGTTTATTGAATGTGAAAAATCTCAAGTCCATAATGTTACAATTAATAGCAATTGTTCGTTAAATTTCCTTTGACAGGCTGGTCATGTGATAGCAAACGTGTTTTTTCAAAGATAGCCTTGACAATTTACATGCCAACTCAAGAATCAATTAATACTTGTTCTGTATTTTATTGAGATACAAAAGATGCTTCCGGGAGCCATAGCCTTAGATTGTCTGTCTGCTCCTGAGTTAGGTTATCTGGGTAGTGGTCGGATATTCTAACTTATGGTCTTTGGAAATTTGTTGTTATGAACACGTCTTTTGCCTTTGCTCAAAATCATGCTTACAGAAAGAGTTATTCTCATGCAGATCGTTTCAAGTTGGGAGAGAAAAGTTTTTAATCCCATGGCTTCTTGTGATAAATCGTAAGAGTTCTGAGGTTCCAATGATTGACGTCCAGTTGGTAAGTCATGGTTTATGAGCATTTCAACATATTTACCATGCCATCATCTTTTGAGAAAATGGAAAATATGGGCTACCTGGACAATATTGTTTCATTGAGATACAAACATTAATTCTGTAAATTTAGAAATCTATATGGAAAAGAAAGAAGTTATTATCTGTATCTTTTATTGGCTAATCTGTTATTGTGATCCATTTGTATGCAATGCAGAGGTACTCAGGAAGTGATTTGCATGGTGTCACTGCTAAAGTTGTGGATATGCCTCACCACTGTATGTAATGCCATTTTGCTCATTTCTTAATCTAGTTCAATGGTTTGCCTTCCATAGCGATTCCAGCAGGCCGTTTTGAAGGGCTTGTGTTGTAATTTAGGCTCTTTATCTTGTTTTTGGTCGGTTAAAATTTCTTTGGGTCAATTCTTAATGGACAGAGGAATAAGACTCCTCGATTTCATTGGTGCAGATATAAGTTTTAACTATCATCTTTGGAAAAGAAAAAGGCACATATAGTTGTAAGAGTTATTTTCGCTCTTGCTTGAGTTTTTATAACATTTTGTCCTGAGCAGATGTAGAAATCCATTCAGACATTCGTAAACAATTTTGGGATCCTCAGCACTGGCCAAAGCATGTGCTGGTCAGATATACATGGTCAGCATCACTTCACTTTTCTTTTAGTTATGATTTGCATAAATCTTAGGATTCCAAAGTTTGCACTTTGTGAAATGTGACATTATTTTGTTGTCTGCATGCAGGCAGGAGCAATCAGAGATAGACGTGACTGCCGGATTTTACGTACTGTTTGGATCAGGTAAAAATCTGTGCTTGATCTAATTAGATATGTTAATTGTATATTCGTTTATCATTCCCTATCTTCCTGCAAGCCTTGTCTTCAAACAAACAGTTTCTTTGGCTTTCTGACACCATTGCTACTAAATTTCTTCATGCATTCAACAGGTCTGATGCTTTCTTTTATTCTCTCAATATACATCTTGCAGTCATCCCGAGACAAATTGGCCAGGTACTTCTTGGAAATATTTGGGTATTTTGTTGGCTGGAAGCTAAGTTTATGGACAAGTTACCAAAATTTCATTCACTGTTGGTGTGGTGATTAATGCTTTGCTCTACCTGTTTTTCTGGTAATGTGATTCTTTCCAGGTTTGTGAGGGAGAGAGTTGCAGAAAGCAGCATGCCTGCTGGAGGTGTGGCAAAGGTTGAATGATAGAACAACCTTGAAAGCATCAATATGTTGTCTGCATGTGCAACTCAGTCCTGAAGAGAATTATATTGGTTGGGGAAGATATGATGCCGTGAACGCATTTTTTTACCTTAATTTGGTAAAGAAAAGCAATCTCCCATCTCTGTCGCAGCCCAAAAGCTTGGACTCAGAGTAACAATTTTTTTGTTTTTTCATATATGCCAGATTGATCTGCACGGTCCCAACGTTTCTGTAAACTCACAGATGTACCTCAAAAAACATTTGAACCATGCTAATATCAGATTTGTAGAGTAGAGCAATATGTTTCTTTTGCTGATTGGTCTGGATGGTCAAAGCATACAAATCCTGCTCTGGTTTGCCGTATTAGTTTTCATTTTCATATTTTAAGGAAAACAGAAAACAGAAAAGAAAAAAATAAAAATAAAAATTAGAGGCCAGAGTGCTGCTCATTCGTTTGCTTATGCTGCACTTTTAACGATTAAAGCAACACTAATGAAATCCTCTGTTCTTATGATAAGCGTGGGCTTCACAACGTGAGGAAGAAAGAAACCAAGAGAACTGAAGATATTTAAACTTGTAAGTTCAAACAGCCGTACATTAAAAATATAACACAGGGAAGCAAGCACATAGAAATTTGAAAGTAAGAAAAACACACAAAAAAAAGAAGATGAAAATGATCATATACATAGTACAATTAAATAAAATGAAGACATAGAGAAACATATTCTTTATTGATTAGAAAAGTACCAAACCCTAAACATAAAACTTCCAATCTACTGCCAGCCGACGACGATTATTCTAGCCCCAAGAACACGAAAAGATAAGAACTAAAACTAAACACGAAAAAAACTAGCTCTAATGACCACTTCGATGTAGTATAAATAGTAGCACTCTTTACTTTATCATAATTATTTGGTCTAGATCACAGCCAGTAGCGTTAAAATTTTGAGCAGCCGAGTGAATGGAACTGAGGAAAGGGACATTCAAATAGCATGAAACAAGGTGCATGTAACTCCTCGTCCTTGCACCAATGCTAGTATAACAGTTGACATACAACTTGAAAATGAGGTCAAAACTCGTACTATTCTTTAACTTGGAAACCTCGTCTGCCCCAAGAGCCACCTGCGTCTCCCCCTTGAAAAACCATGAATTAAATAGCTTCACTCTCTTGGGCGCTACATTGAAATCGTTACCAAAATAAGTTTCGTTTGTTCTTTGGAGCATCAAATTATTAGTCTCGTTGATCGCGGAATAAAGAACGCCGTCAGCATGGTTAATTACGTAGGCGCATTTTCTGTTAGGGTTTTCGACCGTTCCGTTGACGGCTACGTAGTACTGGAGGACGGTGTCGTTTCTGGTGAGGTTGTGCGTGACCAACCAGACATATTTCACTTGATACTTGAGGAGTTCACTCCGGCCATCATAATGTAAGAAATACATGATCATACCATGGGCGGCTCCGGCAACAAGTAGAGCAGAAGTCACGATCAAAATTAGGACGATGCATCTTACCATGGTCGTGAATTTCTGAAGAGGATATAAAGAAAGAGGACGAAGTAATTTGTAAATGAATAGCCAGAGGGTTTTTAAAAGATGTGAGATGGCAATTCAAAAATGAGTACAGGGTTTGAAAAAGGGAGCAGTAATTTCGGGATTTCGTTTTGTGATCTTACAAGTTTATAGGTCGAAACTAGGGAAACTAGTGCTTGGCTTATAAGTTTTATTAAAGTTAATTAAAATCGAGTGCTGGGAATTAATTACTTCCCAAGTTCCTTCTTTTAAGAATATCAAAGCGGATGTGATTGAAGATTTGAGATCAATTACTAATTACTATATAGACTGGTAATAAATTAACTGTATCAAAATTTAAGCCCTACAATCGTGGCAATTATATTCAATCAGCCAACCTTACATTGGCAATTAATAAATCAATAAATAAACTTTCTAGCATCTGTATATAGTGTGTGTGAGTTTAATATAATTATCGTTCCTCTCAATAAGAAGGGTCTTTAAAAAAAGATTTATCAAGATTCTCCTTTCTCGTTATGGTGACTCTATCATTCTCCTTGTGTAGAGGATTATTTCATCTTAATTTTGTCTGGTGTGAGAGTTCGTATTACTAAAATATTCAAAGTATAAGAATCTAAATGGCTTGGGTGAGACCAAAATTAAAAACTTGTCAAATTAATGTAACTTGCTCAAAAAAAAACAAAAATCATAAGGTCTTGAAATTAACCCAAGGGTTGGTTGGTGGAATCGATTTCCTATTATTTTAACAAAAGAAAGAAAAGATCTTTCTTATACTTATGATAGATATAGAATTATATGAATATACAGAAAGAAATAAAATAATACTTTCTTTATTGATTTGATAAGCAAACTCCAAACATAATCCCAGTCTACATAATAGCCAATGCCATTACCATTATTACAACGTACGAAAGAACAATAACACCAAATTAAAGCCAACAATTAAACATAAAATTATTAACTAATAAAACATGAAACCCTATTAACGTTTTTGGACACTGCACATGGTAACGTTAAAACGTTGAGCAAATTTTCCGTCGGAGATCAAAGGGACCCTCAAATAGCAGATGGCCTTGTAATTAAAATGCGCATGCCTTCTACCAAGCTCGATCGAACTTCTACCACTGGCGACCCACAATATATCGAAAACCGTAGCGCTCCTCAGCTTCGAAACCTCATCGGCCGTAAGATCCAGCCGCAACGCCTGGTTCTCCGATGAAGCCAAATAAGCCACTCTGTTGTGGGGTAGATCGAACCGCTCAAAAGTGCTGGCTGACAAAATGTTATTCTTAAGCCCGAAAAATGCAACGGTCATAACCTGCTCAAAGTGGTAGGCACCTTTCTTGTTAGGGTTTGTAGCGGATGCATTGATGGCTAGCTTGTATTGGAGAGTGATGTTGTTGCTGGCCAACTCAAACTGGGTGAAGGAAGCATCGAACACCTCGTACCTGATGTGTTTAGTACGACCATTGAAAACAAGATAGGATACAAAACCACTGATGGCTCCAAGAACAACTAGTGTACCAATGGTGCTTAAAATAATGCCGATGCATTTAGCCATGGCTAATTTCTAGAGCTAATTCTAGAGAATTAGAAAGAGAGAGGGAGAGAAAGAGAGAGAGAGAGCAGAAAGTGATTGATTTGTGAATGAATAGAATGCTTGAACGACAAGAAATAATGCAATGTGGTGTAAACATTGAGGGTTTTATATAGGGTTTAGAATGAAGTGTGTTAGGGATGGGCGCGTGAAAATTAATTACTAATTAGGCTGTGATTTTGGGATTTTGTATTATCCTCTTACGTGTGATTGTGTGAGTTTTGGGAAACTAGTGCTTGTTGATGGGAATTTCTTGGCAAGTTCATTTCTTTGAGAGTATCACGCGGGCAATATCATTCAGATCAATTACTTGTATTTACTAAAGCCGAGTAAATTAATTAATTTACTAAAATAATTTAAGCCCTATAATTTTGGCAATTTGAGTGAATTTCGTTTTGTGGGCTTGGAGCCTTGGACTCTGTTTGCTTGGTTCTTCCAAGTTCGGGCTGTCTTGTTTCTCAGCCATGTAGTTGGGCTTTGTTATGGAACTTTTCAGGACCAGAAATAAGAACAAATAAAGAATAAGGAACTTTTCGTGCCCCATATTTTGACATAGACAGATGTTGCCGTGTGACTCCAAGGCAGCACTTGGGTTTGTCTCGGATTAAACAAAAGGTGGTCTAGACTAGAGAAGAAGCCTTAATTGATTCCCTGTCAACTCCATGAAGCTTTCCTTTCATTTGTTTAAGTTTTGTTTTCTTAAGCACTTATCAAATATTCATCATCAGGACCCACACTGACTAGACTTCCGGGGAACAAAGAAATTTGGAAGCTATAAAAAATTCCCTAGTGTAGCTAGTCATTGGAGGATTGGTTGGTCCCCACTACTGAGATTCATGGTACAGGACGAATACAAAATCACTAATCTTTGCTGAGTGACTTCACCTTCTTCTTGTCCCCAACAACGACCCATATGGTCTTAGTCTCGGATTTTAAATCAACCAGCTGAGTGAAATTAGTGCATGTCCCGGTGGCTAGAGTGGTAGACATATATTATTAGAGCATATCTGTCTGTAAGCAACACAGATTATTAGGGTTACTAAAGCTTATCTAGTCATTACGCGTGGTTATTTCCCATTCCCAATTTTGAGGGTATTCGATTACTAATTTTACGGTAGAATCCGCGTAATTCTTTATTCCTTACGTGTTAATAAACGAGGGAGAAGTCAGGAATTAAAATAATTCCAAATCTATGTATTAGTAAACATAAGATAAGCAAGAAGTGGAATCAATCCAATACTCATGCCTTATAAATAAACATGCCTTAATTAATTATTAGTGAATAGAAAATGCTAATGGAAGTTGAGAATTAGCGGACCTAATGGCAAATGCATAGCCTCTAGGAACTAGAGTTTTGATATCGTGTTAGGTAACCTTTATACCCTAAAGTTTAAGTTGTCAGAGATACTTATGAAACATACGTGACGACACTCATATTAATTGAACTTTGGTGGCCTTTATTAATTTACCTAATCTATATATTGAGATAATGTAAATTAATGAAAGTAGATATTATACATTTTCCTCCACCCTCTCATGAGAGCAGTGCAAGCAACCAATTGTTGGACCGAATAGTGGTAGGCATTATTACAGAGATTACTCTCTGCTCCAACGTGTTCTCTACCTTTATAAGTACAATGATAATATAACTATATTTCATGGTTCCCCTAAATTATTGGCTCAACAACTTCTTTTTTCACGAACCCTAAACCCTAATTATTTAGTAGACGCGCATAGGCAACAATCCAAAACCCACACACACAAAAAGAAAGAAAGGAAACCACCAAAAGCATAGATCTTAGTCCAGTTAATTTATCTCCAAAAAGGTTATACAAATACACTTAAATTATGAAGCTAGATTGACAAGTTGGTTCTGGTAAACTGCTCCAAACCATATGCTGAAGCTTTGGTTGGTCGTGTTGGGCATCTTCGTACTTGTGAAGGGTTCTCCTTTGCTGCTGGTCCCGACTGATTGGGAACGTGAAGTTGTGATTCTCATACACCACGCTTGCCTTTCTTAACCTATATGCTTCAACCTTTTTGTAATTTGTAATTTGCACTTAGGTTTTTTTAGTTTAATTAAGAGGACTTTTTGGGTTAAAATGGTTCAATCTAGTACACCTCTATGGTTATTTATTATGTCTCTAAGTCCCTCTATTATTAATGGCAACACGCTTTACAGCCGAAAGCTAGCTAATCTCCACCTTTGATTGGCTTCAACTTGTAACCTAATTAAGTTTCAACATCTTAATTTGGGATAATTATAGTATTGTCACGTGGTATAACTTGTTCACATGTTATAATATAAACTATGTCGTCTACCCATATTATAACACGTGTATACCGCATGACAATACTATTGGGTCTAAATTACTATTTGGTATATTCGTGCTCTCTATAAGCCACACAAGTTGTCTCTAAATTACTTAAGCACAATTATTTCCTTATTCTGTTCAAGTTGGATACAAAACTATTGTGTCTTTTCTACATATGATACAAATACTACATATATGTGATTCAAAAGGACATGACCCACTTTTTTGTGGCCTTTGGGTCGTGGTTTTTGCCCAATTTTATAATAGTGCACATTATAACACGTGTATACTGCGAAACAATACAACCGTATTATTCTATAATTTCTCCTTAATTTGATCACCTCTCATTTCAAGATAACAATGAGCACATTCCCGCTTTATACAGATGCATATGGTGTTTTTCAATCGCAAACTTTATCATAGATTATAAAGATTAAGCTGAGCAATCAATGGCCTCTCGTGTGGTCCAAATATATCTATATTTATAAAAGGGCCTCCTGTTGTTGACACCATAATTAAGCAGTGGCATGTTTTGTCCATCAGGTTTCTTATTGGACAACACAAATTTTAACCCTATGTTGCTTATAATGGGGATTGAGCTCATACCAATCAGAAATCTTGTTGAAGCTGTTCCCCTGAAAAGAATTAATAAACTTGGAAGTCTCCTTTGTTGAACCTAACATTTCAGGTATGTGTGTGGGAGTAGGAGACATGGCCATGGTCGACATCCATCATTTTGTTTAGCAACCACAAATAATTGAAGTTATGAACCAATGACAAGGGAAAAAGTTCAACCATGGGTTATTTATAGTTTTTAAAATAAATAAATAAAAACTAGCCGTCCATTTTTGTAAACTGAAAAAAAAAATATAACAGTTTAAAAGAAAAAGTGAAAATATATTTTTATTAAAAAGAAAGCTTAGGCTTCTAGCTAAAAATCAAAACTTTGGTTACTCAACTTAAAAGACATGAAAAGGAGATTAAAGAAAAGGAAAAGACATGCATGCCCAAGTGGAAAGAAGCCAATAGCGTCTTGGTACATTATTAATAGATACAAATAAATACTTAAAAGCTAATTGTATGATTCTGTCTTAATTAACTTTTTATATTAGAGACTAATCAAGTGGTTTAAAGCATCAAAAAGCTGAATTTGAAAGGATTGATTAACTTTAACTTTTTCCCAATTATCTTTAAGTGTTGCATTGCAACCATCACCACCATGCTGCCCATTAAGCAAAGGGAATCTATAAATAAGAATTAATATTTACAAAAATGAAGTCAAAAAAGAAAAGAAAAGAGAAGATCAATGGAAGTAGAAATATTCTTCGTTTCCATTTGTGGTCAGCTTAGTCAAATGAATCCCCAAATGAAAAAGGATCCGTACGTAGTACAGATGAAATGGATTCTAAACTCATGGCTTTGTGCAGATGTCTTGTTGTAAAGGATGGCACACAGACACATCCGTTGATCGACCCCAAAGGGCAGGGCTTAACACAAAAGAAGAAACCAAAGGTGCAAGGTATGAGATTACTTTTGAAAAAAGAACCATAAAAAGTTGAGGAATAAAGTAGTTAAGGGAGTGCTTTTGGTATTACCGATCAACAAAAGCCTTTTTTGATACAAGAAATATCGGGAAAAGGGGATCAAATCTAAGACCTCGAGTGCATGAATAAATGCTCTTAATCATTTGAACTGCAAGCTCCTTGCACAAAAACGTTTTTAAATAGTGTTTTGCTGATTACGCAAACAAATTTTTTGATACTTGGTTCTTCTTAAGTGCTCATTGAATTAGTGTTTTTAGGGAAAAATGGGAGATTCCCTATTTTAATGACATTCTTGTTTTTGTTCACAATGCTCTAGAAAGAATCAAAGAATCAATCATCATTCTCAAACTACCTAAAATGACAAGATCAACTTATATGGTAAACTTTTTCGCGGAACTATTCGATTGTATAACTGGTTTTTCCCCCAAGTTCCTCAATCTTGGTCGGGGGAATGTCCCATTACTTGGAGGTATAGGTGTCCTAATTATTGTTCCCTACATGCCACGTAGGTGCCTTTCCTTTCTTTAACCCTACTAATACTAATAGAGTAGTAGATCAGTTCGATAATTCTCATTCAAGATGAATAAACAACGCTTTCCAAGGTTCTTATATAATCATATTCCATTTGCCTATTAATAATAGATAACAGGACCATATTATATAGCGAAATAAACAAAAATTATGGCATGTTTTGATGAAGTTCATACTAGCGTTGGTGTGAGATTTTGTAAATAAGACAAGAACTAGGTGCATGCATGTTATGGAAGAAATGGATTGCCTCAATTCTCATGTGTGCGTGGAGGGTTTAGGGCACCGGCACCTCTCATTTTTAGGACAAAATCTGATTAAAGATCCATAATTTCCCAATAAGTTCAACTTAAGACAATTAAATGGACTAAATATCACCTTCCCACTAGTATAATCTAAATCTAAAGTGAGCTGACATGGGTTTAGCTAAGTTGATTGCACCCGAATTTTAATTCATCTCCCCATAATTTAGGTTAGTTTAAAGTAGATTATCGTTTATATGAAAAACAAAAAAAAATTCTAAAGTGAGCTATTAAACCAAGTTTAGTGGTCCGGACGGACGTAGCAGTAATTAGTTGAGCATAACACGTCAGCTTCAACCCCGTAAAGTTAAGAGTCTGAATAAAATATTGAATCAAACATTTTGATAAATTATAGCTTTTAGGGTTTAGCTTCATTAGTAGTCTCTGATATTCCAATTAAGCCCCACTTGTACGTATAAACAGAGCAAGCACATATATAGTTCCAAGTTCCAACTTATTTATGCATATTATTCGAGTGCAGAATTGTCCTGTATATTTTATTTCACTAGAAGAAGAAAAAAACCATCTTATTTTCAGACAGACATTACAATAATGCGACAATAGAATTGATTGGATAAAGCCAAAATTTAGGTGGACATAGACGGAGTGATGCGCGTGCTTATTATATGCCATAGCCATTTTCACTGAGCTGCACAGTGCACACTACATAAATAAATATATATATATATTGATGTGTGTATATAATTCAAGGCCTAGGGATATGCAAGTTGATCAAAGCTGCTCTGTTTTGCTCTGTTTTCCCCTGTTTTCCACTCTCCATGTTTCAGTGCAGCATTTCTTGGTTGCTCTTTCTTCTTTGCAATAATAGCGAGTGAAAGGCCAAATACACGCTGCCATGGCCGAGGAGGAGAAGTAGCAGCTGCGAAGACAAACAGGCTCCCAAGACCCCAAAAGTGACAGACAGACATCACAGACAGCTTAATTTGGGGCTTTGAAAGTAAATACAAAGGTCTGTGGCTCTGATTTTGTAATGATTTTTATATATAAAAAAATTAAAACTTGGGGTTATGATTATGATTATGATACGTACATATTGGGTTTTTTTTAGTTGATGTTTATTAATTATTTGGAGGAGGATTATTATTATTATTTTTTTGGGTTTAATATATGTGTTTATATTATACATAGAAAATGCACATAGGACCCCATTGGACAAGGCGTCTCTAAAACTGGACCGTGGGCCGTACTTTTTATAGGATTGTTTTTCTTGTGTCGTCGGATAAACATGTGCTTGCCTAGTACTGAATCTCGAGGAATTATAAATGGTGGTCATCACCCTCTGATTCCAAAGCATCATGTAGTTGAGGACTATAATGGAGACTTGACAATGAGAGCTAGAGGGGAAGGCGGCGCCACCACCACCACTTCTTCTTCTACTTTCATTCAGACCTTCCTTCAACGCCTCCACCAGCTCCCCAATAATGGCCTTCTCGAAGGACTTCCACTTACTGAGGTATGTACCCTGTAACCCCCTCATCCCTCCCTCTTTCTCTCATTCAAATGTTCCGGCATGCATCATACTATGTCTGTCTTTCGACATTAATATAGCGTCCTAGAAATTTATCTTTACTTACAATCTATGTGACATGCCCAACAGTCACACGTGAATCATCTTGAGCTTTAAAGATGTTATGTTATGTAAAACTATTTATGTTTTTTAATCATTTTAAGTGGAAATACACAATTAAGTGATCGGCTTGCATTTGCCCAAAGAAAAACCATAGTATGACCTAAAGGGCTTAGGAGCGGAACTTCTTTCATGCCTATGAGGCTAACAGGGAGCAAGTTTCAGGAGGAGCTATACCTTTTTACACACACACGTCTGGCCCCACAGGCCCACTCACACGAGTGAAAGGACCAATTTGGAACCTGCATGGGTCCCATGATGTTTTTGTAGGAACACGTAAGCGCCCAATTAAGAAATAATTAATAACCACAAACCTCCTAATCATAACAGCATGTTCAGGTATCGGTCCTCCCCAAATGCCTCCCAGTCTAAGCTATGCTTCATTATCTCAACACAAATTAGGCTCGGCGTAGTTTTGCAGCAATGAATTAACCAAAACACAATGCATTTCTCGAGTCTTGGTCTTGCAGCTAAACTGTTTGAGAACACAAGTCTGACAGATTCCAGCTTGTGATTAATTAAGAACAATATCAAACATTACTTTCATATTATATAATACTAGTCATAGGTGATAACCTTAATTACTCTCAGCTCCAAGTAGAATCATTCACATGACAGCTTTAGATTCTTTTGACGTACGTTGACAATTTTTTTTAATTAGCTTCATCTGTAAAATAGCCAGTGCCCTAAAAAAGTTTACGAATATACCTCACCAACTTCACCTTTTGCCCACTTGCAACTTTTATAACGCATGAAAAGGTCCAAATTGATTGTCAAATGGCTATAAAAATTCTAAAGCTCACTTTTAGACTGCATTTCAGTATTCTAGGACCTTGGGACGAACAAAAGTGACATAGAATTGCTGTTTTTTCACGTGTATATCTGTCATTTTTCGTTTTTTTTTAATACAAACGATAATTTAAGATATAAGGGATTCTCAAACACACACACTATCAATGTGTCATAGAAATTCAAAGTTCGAACCATAAACTCTATATCTCTCACTTAATCTCTCTCTCTCTCTCTCATAATGTGAATCTTTATGTAGATAGGAGAAGAGTTAAGATCGTTGGTAAAGATTGGGGGGCCAATAGTGGTGACATCTATGCTAATATATTCAAGGTCTGTAATTTCAATGCTGTTCTTGGGGCGTCTTGGGAAAACAGAGTTGGCTGGAGGGTCATTGGCTCTAGGGTTTGGAAATATTACAGGCGTCTCAATCCTCAGCGGCCTCTCAATGGGAATGGATCCAATTTGTTGCCAAGCTTATGGAGCCCAGAGATGGGCAATTCTCAGTCAAACTTTTCAGAAAACAGTTTGCCTCCTCCTCCTTGTCTCCATACCCATTGCACTTTTGTGGCTCAACATGGAGCCCATCTTTATATTGTTGGGGCAGGACCCTCAGATCACAAGAGTTGCCAAAGTTTACCTGGTTTTCTCCATCCCTGAATTGCTAGGTCAAGCTCACCTCCTACCATTAAGAACCTTCTTGAGAACACAAGGCCTAACAACCCCACTAACCCTAGCAGCTGCATTTGCAGCCCTCTTGCATTTGCCTATCAACTATGTTTTGGTCACATACTTGAACTTAGGGGTAGGAGGTGTTTGTTTGGGCCTTGCTTGCAACACCTTACTATTTAATTTGGGCTTGCTCATTTACCTAACTATCTCAACCCATGCTTTAAAACCTTGGCATGGGCTTACCATGATCTCGGCCTTTCAAGGATGGAAGCCATTGATAAGTTTGGCATTGCCCAGTTGTGTTTCGATGTGCTTGGAGTGGTGGTGGTATGAAATAATGTTGTTCTTCTGTGGCTGGTTGAGTAACCCACAAGCCAGTGTAGCAGCTATGGGGATTTTAATTCAAACCACAGGGATGTTGTACATTATCCCAATTTCTTTAAGGGCATCCATATCGACACGTGTGGGCCATGCGTTAGGAGCCGGGCAACCGACCCGGGCCAAGTGGGCTGCCATAATTGGGCTTATTGTGGCATTTGCTTGTGGGCTCTCAGCATTCATCTTCATGACTGCTGTGAGGTCCAAGTGGGGGACTATATTCACAGATGAGCCACAAATTCTTGATCTGATTTCAACTGCACTGCCAATTCTGGGCCTGTGTGAACTTGGCAACGTTCCTCAAACAGCTGCCTGTGGAGTGTTATCAGCTACTGCAAGACCTAAACTTGGAGCCAGAATAAACTTGTATGCATTTTACATCATTGGATTGCCAGTTGCTATTCTTGGAACTTTTACATTCAAAATTGGGTTTCTTGGGCTTTGGTTTGGGCTACTTTCAGCGCAGGCTTCTTGTGTGTGTATGATGGTGTACACATTGATTCACACAGATTGGAAGCACCAAACAAGAAGGGCTGAGCAGCTGACACTGGATGTGCAAGAGACTCAACAGAATGAGGAGAGAAAAGAGGATGAAGAAAGTGGGCTGCTACCTCCTACTGAGCTCTGAGTTTACAAAATATCAAAGTTTCAGGGATAATTTTACATAGACAAACTCAGTACAAATTAATCATATTTGGTCAGAAATCACAATTTTTTTTTTCTCTTTTTTTTTTGGGGGTGTTTACAGCATTGGAAAGAAACAAAAAAATAAAAATTACTTGGTTATTAATTATTAAATGTAATGTTAATACATCATTTTTCCTTCACATTTCCCATAGATTATCCTTTATATAGTATGAAGAAATATTAATGTAAAAAAATAAATTTAAAAAGGCCATTTCATTTACACAGTTGATATTATGTGAGGACATTTTTTGTTAGATGAAAAACTTGTAAGGTTACATGAATGACATACCAAAGATTAATTGAACAATTGTGAATTTGTTTTCACTAAGGCAAATGACACATAGCTTGGAGATCGACACCGACCGATTTTATATCATAATTTCGTCCTTGTTTTCAATCCACTTTTTTCAATTTGAAAACCATGTGATCTGCCTTCTTTTTTCATCTCAACCCGTGTTTGTGGAGAAGAACTTACCTACATGCCACTGTAGTACTATTCCGAGCCAATCACCCATTATTATGTATTTTAACTTTCTGATATAGCAATGCAACTTTTCGAGTGGTCCATTTTAAAAAAAAATTATGGAAAAGGTAAAAACTGGCGTATACTATAAAATTATCATTTTTTAATATGGAATGTTTATGTATAATATAATACCTTCTCTCTTTCTTTTTGCTGGTAGTGTGTTGGGTTGGGAGTTGGTGCAAGTTGATTGATTGATCTCTTCTTTTTTCTTTTTTTGTTTCCGAAATTTTACAGATTGAAACCCTTTATATAAACGCGTTATATTCTGATTCCTCGGTTTATGTTGAACGAGTGCATAATTTGATTTGATGGGATCTTGGAGAATCAATTTCTACCTTTTTAAGGCTCTTGCAAATTTGTGGAAACTGCATGGGAGGTTTCTTTGTCCATACATTTTTGGTATTTCACATTAATTACGTTTCGGATAATCGAAATTGTAAATCAGTACCTAGACTGGTGCTGAAACTGAAGTTTAGAGATTTACATGACATACGGTTTCATTTATATTTTCTATCAATCCAAACACGCGGCTGTACACATTTACATTTACTTTCCAGTTTAGATATCGAGAATTCAATAACACACATACACACGTTCTCTTCTCAGTGCTACTACTATAAATACCTCTTATTGTACGTCGTTATCATATACCAATTCAAAATTCTCTTTAATTTCCTCAACCATGGGTATGTGCACTTTTTGCTGTTGCTCCATCATCCTTGTGGCCCTAGTTTTTTCCCTAGGCATCACTGGTTTTGTGTCCTGGATCATAGCTGGCTTTGTTCGTGTTTCTCATTTGAAACGGATCAACTACCAAGTGACCGATGCCTCACTTCTCCAATTCAACTTGACAAACAATAACACCACCCTTGAGTACAATCTAGCCCTCAACATAACCCTTCAAAACCCTAACGACAAGATTGGTCTCCACTTTGACCGAATCGAAGCCAGTGCCAGTTTCATGAAGCAAACCCTAAATAATGTTAGCTTGAGCTCCTCCTCCTACCTAGGGCACAAGAAGACGGTAGTATTACCGGCATTGTTCAAGGGGCAGCGGCCAGTGGCTTTCGGGGCTGATGAGGTCTCCATCTTTAAGAATGCTGGGGATTTTGATATTCTGTTGAACCTAGATGTTAAGTACACGGTCAAGTTTCTTGCATCGAAGGTTAAAATTAAGCAACCCCATATAGCATGCTCTTTGAAGGTCCCTCTGAACAACGGGAAATCTG